GGCTATGAGTTTTCAATTAGCAGCATTGGCAGGGCGGGCCCTTGACCCGATTGATATTCGAAATTTATTCTTTCAACAAGGGATCAACAAGCTGGTCTTTGATGAGGGCCTTTTTTGTTAAGGTTTATAATTAAAACATTGACGATACGATCACAATATACTTCTCCGGAAGCCGAAAAATTCGATTGCACTCACATATATCTACTTTTAGGTCAAATGTTTTAGTTATTCCTTGTGTGGACTTCCTATAAACGTAAAACTAAATCTTCCATTCACGGCGTACACCAGAGAAAAAGCACATGCGAAGAATCAAGACAAATCCAAACGCTATAAAAGTCTTTATCAAAATCACTAAGCGGGATCACGATCCAACCAACCCCTGCGATGTCATCTTACAGGCACAAGTCTGGTGCTCAGAAAAGGCAGGAAAAAAGATGCGAGAAAAAGAAGCAAAGAAAGCCTCTCGCACATTGTTTGAGGTAGGTGCTTACAAAAGAGACAAGGAAGGTGATTCAACTTTGAATAAACCTGGTGAAAGCTCTGTTCAAAGCACTGCTGAAGAAGAAGAAGACACAGACGGCTTGGCTGCTTCGGTAGACCATGACACCACAGAAAGTAGTGAAAGCACTACTGATTCATCATTAAATCAAGATACTGTTCATAGTGGATCATCTAGTTTTGATGTCGGCACATTGACCGGATTTCCAACGATAAAGGAGTTAGAAAAGGTTGTTAGAACTGGTCATTTGCCTCATCCTCCAGAGTTTCCCAAAGATTGCGACGGCCACAAATTTCCAACAACTGTCCTTAACGTGAAGCAGCAAAATTGGGAGGTAGTAAGAAAAAGCTGGCTTGTTTTCAGTCCTACAAAGGCTGCACTCTATTGTTTGCCATGCACACTATTAATAATGGTTCAAAATCAAAATTGGCTTCTCCTGATGGTTGGGGACGACAGCTGGAAAAGAATAGATTGTGGGAAAAGATTAAGGATTTCGCCATGAGGAAAGCAAGAAAAGCAGTTTTTTAAACATTGAATTAACTCTGATTTTTAAACTGATTTGTTTTAATGATTTGTTTTATATAGTCACTAATTACATGTTCTGTTAAAGACCTTAAAATACAAATTCAAGTGTTTCAGGGGCGTTGATTTCAAAATTCATGCCTTTTACAGTCCATCTAACTGCATTGCTAAGGGCGTAATCCAAAAAAGGTTTTTGCAGCCTTCGACTTTGGGGCCCCATGACAGTCCCAGCCCTGGGGCCCGGCCCGTCTCTCGACGGCCCTGGATGGCAAAGTGGCATTGTTTGGAACATTTTGTACGGAGGGTATTAAACCAGGAAGAGAATTATAGGGCACATCTTCAGAAATGAATTGTAGGGTATCAAACTTGGATGCGTAAACATGTGTGTGTTGCCTGCTGTTTCATTTCAACTTTTTTTCGATCCGTTTCGATCCGTCGCGGATCAGTCATGTGACCATTTTTGCATCCAAGGCGCATGCGCAACACAAAATCTGATCCGATCCGCGGATCATTTTCCGGAGTGGGTTTTCGGCTTAAGGCTGAGTTGTTTGTTAGGAAGCTGTTGATTGTTTTTGTGCTTGAATGCTCTTTAAAGTATCTTATTATTTCAGTTATTGTTGAATTCTCAGTCAAGCCTTTATGGATTGAATTTGAATTTGTACTTAACACGTCGACGAAAATTTGCACAATGATTTCGTTGTTTTTTATACTCTTGAAAATTGTCTTTAGTTCTATATTTATTATAAATATTTTTCAGTTTCGTGCGTAACATTATTGGTTTTCGATGATTTTTAAGAGCAGCATGTTTGTTAACAATGCTACTAAAATATCTTGAAAGCTATTGAATGCTTAATCACCATCTTGTTGATATTCACAAAGATCTGCCAGCAAATCTTGGCAGAAACCTTCCTCTGTGAATTTACTTAAATCTCAGTAATGTTGAATTTTAGGGTGGTGTTTAGGCAGAGACCATTTCAATGTACACTCTTTATTTTATAAGAACAATTTTATAAGAACACGAGCCTCAAAACTGGTCAAAAGTTAAGAACAAATTAAGAACAAGCTGAGGCTGAGCTTCTGCAAAATGCAATTTTGAACAACGTTTTTTCTCAAAATCGAGGATTTTTAGCGATGCATGGGTGCTTTTTCGGTGAATATTCAAATTTGGCAGCAAATTAAGGCTGTCTCACTCACTTTGTTGGTAAATGAGGCCTAAACACCTCCTTCGAGCGAAAAAGCTGGCAATATCACTGTTTACACCCTCCTAATTTAAGAACAAATTAAGAACAATCCAGCCTCAGATTTTCGAAAAAATTAAGAACGGTCAGCCTGAACTTAAATTTACTGGTTCTTATAAAAAAAAGAGTGTAGTTAGAATTGATTTTGTGGAAATCACTTAAACTAGATTCAATTGCTATGCTATTTTTAAAATGATTTTTTACGATTTGTTAAAATTACATCAATTGATGATGGATTACAGTTTGGTTTGTAGCAGGTTGGTTCTTTTATAAGGTTAGTAAGGCCAAAGGAAGAGCATATTGTTTTGAGGTGTGAATTAGTTGGGGTTAAATTAAGATCACCAATGATGATAAAATTGTCATAATGCAAAAAGAGATTTATCAACTATTCTAATTATTGTATTTTTGAAATTTTCGTTATTAGCATTAGGTGGATTATATGCAGCGATGATGGCTCATTTCACTTTTTTTAGGTTTAATTCAAAGCATATATTTTCGATTCCTTTTTCTTCAAACTGGTCAGTTCTACTTTTGAGGGCTTCTTTTATGTAGACTAGAAGACCACCCCCGTATCCAGGAATAAAAATTGTTCAGTTGAAAACGAATCATCAATTTTGGTTTCACTAATGATCACGCAGTCATATGAGCTAGTCACAATCAAATCTTTCAGTTCGCAAAACTTATTTCTGATACGGTTAATGTTTAGATGAGCAAGAATAGGGTTTTGGGGGTATTTTAGCCGAGCCTGTTTTAATTCTTTGTAATTTGATGCCGATTCAGTTATATTATTTGAAGTGTAAGAAAGCAATATGTTATTATTGAGTCATGCAGAACGACAGGCCTTAATGCAATCCCTGAAATTGCAAGCGAGTTTCGCGCTACCTCGTTTGTTTGAGTGCAGACCACTGTTATTAAGTCATCTACTATTATCAATAAAGTGAAGGTTGTTTTTTCACAAATGTCATACAAGATATTATTCAGCTGTTGGACATTGACATCAGAATTGAATTGCTATACTTAGCTTGACGAGTGATTCCCGAAATGAAGATACTGCTCGTTGCCACTTCTTTCAATTCCTCGCCTATTTGTCGCGGACTGTTGGAGGTGTTCATGACGTCATTTATGCTGCAATGTAGAATAATAAAGTCTAGCTTTTTTGAGATGCTAGGTTCGATGAAGTGTTTCAGCTCCATAGCCTTCATACCACCAATCATAGGCATAAACCTAGGGGGGGGGGGCTCTGGGGCTTCAGCCCCTCCTGACGAAACCCCCCCTCCGCCCCCCTGAAAAAATGCAAGTCTACGCCTATGCCACCATTGCTGATTTTGTTGACCCATGCTTGCATATTGTTTGGAAGTTTGTGAGGGAGAATATTCTTGATTATAGAGTCACCAATGATAGCAATGTAAGGTTTTTTATCTGATGGAGGTTGCTAATTATGAGTAAGTGAATAATTTTCATTCCGAAATGATGATCGTTGTGGCCTTCTGGACATAGCTGATTTATCAGTTTATGTGATTGTAACTTTATTTGGTTTATGTGATGGCAAAGTGGCATTGTTTGGAACATTTTGTACGGAGGGTATAAAACCAGGAAGAGAATTATAGGGCACATCTTCAAAAATGAATTGTAGGGTATGAAACTTGGATGCGTAAACATGTGTGTGTTGCCTGCTGGTATATAGGACGGTTGGTTGGTATTCTGGAAAAGCTGGTTTTTAGATGGATAATGTATTGGTTTGTCTTATTGCTAACAGTTTGCCACGGAATACACTCTTTTTTTTAAAAGAACAGTTTTATAAGAACACGAGCCTCAAAATTGGTCAAAAGTTAAGAACAAATTAAGAACAAGCTTCTGCAAAATTCAATTTTGAACAACGTTTTTTCTGAAAATCGAGAATTTTTAGCGATGTGTGGGTGCTTTTTCGTCGAATATTCAAACTTTTCGGCAAATGAAGGTTGTCTCACTCACTTTGTTGGCAAATGAGGCCTGAAAACCTTCCTAGAGCGAAAAAGCTAGCACTCGCACTGCTTACACCCTATTAGATTAGGAACAAATTAAGAACAATCCAGCCTCAGATTTTCGAAAAAATTAAGAACAGTCAGCCTGAACTTAAATTTACTGGTTCTTATAAAAAAGAGTGTATATGCATTATCATGTTTGTATCTCTTTGAAAACAATTTCCTTTTTTAGGGATTCGATTTTAGCTAATAAGATGCTGTTTTCTTTCAAAGTCTAGAATTTTCTTTTTTTCGATATTTTGAAAACCATCAAGGGTTGCTCCGTCCTTGGATGATTTTAGTTGATTTATCTTCATCAGCTCAATATGACTCCAGGTTCCAGGCTGGCTGCAATGCCTTGTCAAATGCCGATATTTGATGTGGATCGTTGGGGCTGGGCTTTAAAAGCCACTAGATTGGCATCAGCTTGATTTTCATCGCCGTTTGCGTCATCCTTCTGTTTAAGATCAATTGCTTTTAAAAAGGTTTCTCTAAACTCATTTAAACCCTCTCCAATAATGAACACTGTTGCTGAAGGAATATATATTTTGACAGTAACCCATTAACTTCCCCCGGAACACGCCCCCCCCCACTTTTCTGCAGAGCAAAACAATTTTTTTCAAATAAAAGTGGACAGAAATCTACTATATCATTCTCTAAGTGGCTGTGCCTAGTAATGCCTTAAATATGTCCTTATCTTTAGCTTTGTTGCCATGTCTTTACTATAGAAGACATCAACTTAGTGAGCAAAAGTATTGCACAGGTATGACAATTCAGTAATGGCGACCGCGTTGTCAACAACAAAGCGATCGAAATTCAAACCACTCTTTTGAAGCCATTAGGCGTCTTTTTATGAATAAAATCTTATCAAACCAAGCTTCAAACCATTGACAATACTTTTAATTTAAGAGTTGAAAAAAGCTACTTTTTAGAAAATAAAATGTTTTAACTTTTTATTGGACAGTCTAACCGGTTTTGAAACCTTTGTGAGACTTGCTAAAACTTTATCGAAAAGTTTAGTAACAGGTTCTCTAATCGCGACATGGTAAGTTCAGAAAAACATTTGCAAGATCACATTTAGGTGTTGGAGTACCAAGTTGATCGTAAATTGCCTTGTATTTGGTGGAAAGAGGCATATTTAAAGCCATTTTATTACGTCAACTCTTTACAGCTATATGAAGACACTGCGATTAGGCCCATTGCGGCTCCAAAATTTCCGACCAAAACATTTAGCATATTCTCCAACAAAAGTGAGGAAAATGAGCAGTTCTAGACAGCAGCTCCGCTTTCTGCCATCTTCCATCCCTACGGTATCGCCGGCAGAAATTCTTTATGGAAACGCTTTCTAACGGTACCGCAGGCAGCTGTTTGAATTGCCGTAAGACTGCCGTAAGACTTACGGCATCCTCCCGGTACCGCCGGCAGACAAATTACAAATGGAAACGCCTTGCCTGCGGCTGCCTGCGACATTCTTTTGTTCAAACAGATCATGTGAAGTGCAAGAACCAATTGAAACAGGGCTTTGTTGTTGAATTTTGCCCGCTAGTTTTTCCCGCTCACACTTTACCTAGTTACCGGCATAGTTACCGATAACGCAGGCAATTGAAAACAGAACGTTTCCATTTGCCGGCGATACTGTACGGGTGGAAGATGGAAGATGGCAGAAAGCAGTCGCAGGCAGTCGCAGGCAGCCTTACGGCTATATGGAAACCAGGCTTAATCAGTTGTTGAAAGAAAAGTAAGAGCTGCAAAGAAATTTTTTGAGGCTATGAGAAATAGGGAACGGGCAGATTTGTTCTTAAAAAGTTCAAAAGTATCATCAAGAAAACTTCAAAGTTTGATTGTATCTATAATCCATCCCTACTATAAAGAAGAAAATCTAGATGCAATTATAAATTCTATTAAAACTCGTTTTGATCGGCCCGGTTTCAAAGTTTTCCAAATCTAGAGTCTTTTTGTTGAAAACCTCTTATCTCCAAAAAATTTAAGATCAGATGTTAGAAAAAATATTCCACCTGTTCAAAAATGTTTAATTTTTATTTTTAGCTGATAGTTCTTCTGTTTATATTTCAATGATAATGTTTTTTAATAAACCGTGTTTCATTTATTTTTCTCCTCCATCCAAATTTGGGTACTTTCAAATCTAAAACCCAGTTCCATTACAAGCTATGCCATAAAGGTTATTTTCTAAAAGTTTGCAAGACCTTTCCTATTTTAAGTCAACATTGCAATAGACAAAGCAAAGCTTCGATATATTATTCTTGTCTTTGTCGTTGATCACTTTGATTCTCTGTTGTGGGATACCATTTCAACCACTGATGAGAGCAGTGATTGCAACAGGTAACGAAAATCTTGCGGTGATTCTCAAGGGTAGAGTACCGAAGTGTGACGTCATCAAAAGCATATTTTTAGAATTTCTTGAATTTGGCCACATAATCTGAAGGAACGGCATAAAATCCCTCTCAATTTGCAAAATCAACTAGACATGTGTCAAGTTGGGCGAGATATGGCCAATGAAAGATTTCAAGTTCCCTAACGGATTACTGTTATTCTGGCCTGGTTCATAAAGATATGAACCAAGACCAAATTACAGAGGTTTGATGGGGGAATAGCCTGTACTAATGTGGCCATATCTCAGCCAATTCGCAATACCTTTAACTGATATTGCATATTTAGAGGTATTTCATGACGCTCCTTTAGGTTCTGAAATCAAAATTCAGAAATTCTAAAGACAGAATTTTATGACGTCATCATTTCTGTACTCTATAGTCAGGGGCATTGTGGGTACAATGCTGGAATTATCTTATCTGTCCAATTACACACGGAAAACCACCGATGGAAAACCATAGAGATACTCTATATGGAAAACACAGTTCGCTGTTGAATGTCATTTCTTTGGATTACCATTGTAAAAAGGCAGTTCGTTGGTTCAGCATGGATTCAATGGATGGTGCTCCTAGCTCTAAAAGACTAAAGATGAATGAAAATGGGCGCAATCAAGATGGGAAGCTTTCTGAGGTAGAGTAATTTTATTTCTGATTTCTCATTTTTCCCTCTTAGTTCTTTTTTCTTCTGTCACATTTTGTTCGTTTATTGTAATTAAACGTTAAAAAATGTTTCAAGAATTATCAATTTGACCAAGCAAACTCTGCAATGTAAACAAAAAGTGTCAGACAATCTCTAAAGAGCAAAATTCAAAATAGGTACAGATGGCGCTATGGGTGTCAAGGAGGCGCAAATGTCCACCAAAAATTTCAAATGACTCCCTGTCGGCAGCCGGAGTCTAGAATCTAATGTCCAATATCCAGGGCGACCTAATTTCTACCTAAAGTTTGTGGACAGAGTTTATTGAAAAACTCCGAACGTTGATCCTGGAGGTACTGGAAGCCACTGTAAGCAGGGCTGAAATCAATGAAACGTGGAAGAAGTATACCTAAAAATAGTTAAAAGTTTTAAACGATTGCAAGAAATGACTGCAAGAAATATTCTGAAATGCATTTCAAGAAAATCTCAAGGGCGTGGTCGCAAAAAAGTTCTCGGGACCTCGTCTTTCGGGTTTCCTTCAAGGCCTTCGAAACCCCTTGGCGGTCCTATTAGTAAGATCTACTCATGCAAACTAAGTACCACAGTCACTCGAACATAGAAGTGATGATTGACTAACGAGAACATACTCTTTGATAAACAAAATCAATTGCGTCAAAATACCACACCCCAAAATTGAAATACCTTAGTCACAAATTTGCCGTATCTTGTCGGCAAATTTGTGACTGGCACCCCCCTAAGTGAAAGTGATTAACGACGGCCCTGCCCTTCAGTTTTCCCTTAATAACTTTTTTAAATCTCGGCCTTTAACAATTTTTGTCTTATTCTTTGGCTCAAGCAGCCGTTATGATTTTATTTTGCGTCGAAAGTAGGGGAATTTTTCGAAAGTACAAAATCCGCCTCCAACCTCGATGTAGACTTGAGTTTATAAGTCGTGCCAGGTGTAACGTTTTAGGATTTGTATTCTTCAGTAATTATGATTATTAAGCTAGATTCTTTGATTATGTTGCGCGTTAATGTCACATGTTTGTTTGTCGCACTATTGTGTTAGTAACTCCCTTTCCGGGAAATGTGTGTCACTGCCTTCGTGTTATGTGATGTTTCACAGTGTTCCTTTGTTTGTGTTTTGATATAATATATGTGGTAAAGATAACACCAAAGAAGGAGTATATATATCTTTTATGTGCTATCTACCCGTTGGCCTAGCCCAATTACCAAGACACCGTCTTAAGAAGAACCCATAATCGTTATACAGGCGCTAACCCCGGAGTCGGTTTTCATCTCCAGTTGTTCAGTATTCATCAAAATATTTGTTTAATTCTGTTTTTCAAAAAAGTTATACATTTTATTGGACTTGCGACTTGCAAAAACCACTCGGCACTTCAACTGCTGTTAAATTTTTTCAGATTTTTTTCTATATTTTTAACCTATCCAGTCTTGTAAACGATGCCATTACCTAAAGTTTGTTGCCTTGGTTGTCCAAAATGGACGCTTGGCGATTCGAAAACAGTGGCTTGAAAAGAGCGAAAATCTCACTACCCTGCTCAAAAGTCTCGCTACTCGGCTCCAAAGAGTCGATTTATTGATAGAGGGGTGGGCCATGACACAGAATGCGCTCTGACGTAGCCTGCGTACAGACTTTACTATCCGTTGCGAAGGAGAGCCAATACGGAACTTGTAAACTTTACCGCAACCCTCCTTGACGATTTGAGCAAAACAGCCCTCCGGTTTTCCTTTAATAACTTTTCGCAGGAAAATTGTAAAAATAATACTGAAAGTTTAATCGATAGAACATCGCTTGCTACACTGTTTTTTACAATTTGTATGAGGTTAAGGATGTTTCAAGAACATTTTCAGCCCCCGAAAGTTGCCAAAATCTCGAATTTCCCAAAACAGCCGTCCGGTTTTCCTTTAATAACTTTTCGCCGAAAAAAGATATAATTTAAAGTTGAATCAATAGAAAATGGTCTGCTATACTTTTTTTTATTGTTTGCAAGAGTTTAAAAGTGTTTCAAGAACATGTTTAGTCCCCGAAAGTTGGCAAAATCTCGATTTTCCCTAAACCCTCAGTTTTCCTGTAGTAACTTTTTCAAATCTCGGGTTTTTTGCCCAAACAGACGTTTATCCATTTTTTCGATACCCGCTACACTGTTTTTTCATATTGTTGTGTTTTTATTTTGCGTGGAAAGTGGACATTTTGCGTGAACAGAAAATTGTAATTATAGTTGTTGTTTTTATCGAATTAACGGCTGTTTCAGCCAAAAACCCGATATTTAAAAAAGTTGTCAAGGGAAAACTGAAGAGCGGCTTTGGGAAAATTTCGCTTTTGCCAACATTCGGGAGGCTGAAACAAATGTTCTTGCAAACTATAAAAACAGTGTAGCAAACAGTGTTCTATCGATTACACTTTGAATGGTATTTTCTCCTTTTTCCTGCGAAAAGTTATTAAAGAAAAACCGCAGGGCTGTTTTCACAAACTGGAATTTTTATTACACTACGAAGACATGAAAAACAGTTTTTGACATTGTTATAATTTTGTAAGATAACTGCTTTGAAAAGGACTCTACTTAATTTGAAAAGCAAGAAACTCTATTATCGGCTCATTAGATTTATACACTTGACTACTTGCAAAATTATCAATGTTTCAAAATATTTGATATTTAGACTATGACGATTATAGCTGGGGTGGGAAAAAATAGAGGGAAGTGGCCTAGCTTCCTGTTAGCATAGTTTCTTGGAAAGAACTATGCCAGGAACAGGGTTGTAGCGCTAGCCCCACCCTTATTATTGCCGAAAAGTAGCTAATTTCTATTTTTGCTTTTGTTTTTTGCAACATTTTCCACAAAGGAAACACGAAGGAGGCCTTTATTATCAAATCTCAGAAAATTACCCGATTGATAAAGGGATTTTGGAAAGCTATTGCAAAATTTTTAAGCATATAATTCTCAGCCAGTACAAAAGCAAGTTATAGGAAACGTGTGCGAGCCCCAATCTTGGAGAGATATGCAAAAATATAATAAACCGCTTGAAACCGATTGCAGATCATGCTGAAAAAAATGAACAGAAATAGATTTTTGTGACGTCATCATTTGACAACTCTATTGCTCTACATCCAGCAATGGATATTTTCCCTTTTGTGAAGGGATTCTGAATGTAACTTTCTGTTTCTTTGCAGGATAAGCAAAATTTGAACGATAATATTCATTTCCCCACCTCTTTGGTATTTACAGCCAGTTTGGAGAATCTTGGAAAATCGCTGAAAATTATCGAGGTAAGAGAATCTGTGTCATGACTGACGGGGCTACCGTGCATAAATAATTTTAAAATGAAAAATGAAAAATGTCGATTATATTTGATTTGCGATTTTGTTTAGTACAGTGAGGTTTTTCTTTCTTGTCGACTCTCTAGTTTTCTCTGGGGTAGTTATAAGCGTACAGGGAAGGAGAGGAACAGGGGAAGAGAAAGGGAGGGACAGGGGAGGGGCAATGGAGGAAAAGGGGAGGAAAGTGGGAGGAACAGTGGAGGAACAGATGAGGGACAGGAGAGGAGCGAAGAGGGTGCATGGGAGGAACAGGGGACGAAATGGGCAAAGAAAAGGAGAAGCCTTCTCGCCAATATATTGAAAAGTCAAAATGTCGAAAATTTTGTTTTCATTTAATAGGGAGCTGGTGTAGCTGTTTCGCGTGTCGAATCGCGGCCGTCCAAACACGATGCTACGAAGCAAGACTTTCTGGTCAATATTAGCGACGATGATAATCTTGGAGAGATATGCAAAAATATAATAAACCGCTTGAAACCGATTGCAGATCATGTTGAAAAACATGGGGGAGAAGAAGGTAAGGTTTGTCTGTGTTCCTGTAGATCAAGATCCTAGACTTGGTATTGGTCAATATTCAGGCTGAGTTAAAGGGGTGAGGGCTAAATAACACGTCTGATAAACAAGCCGGGTAAAAACCTTCTTCGGTGAGAAATTTCCAACCCGGGAAGTCCCCTTTCGGAAAACTGAATGACACAGGCATTTGTCCATTCTTCCATGTCCCTTGCAAGTTGATGTTTGTGTCTCCATTAAGTTTTTTGTTCCTTTGAAATTTTTGTTTCGCCGCCTAAGTAACAATTTAAGTAACATATGGGACCGAAACAGCATGGTATATTTTAAAGAGTTTATCACCTTGAAACTTATTAACAGATAACAAAATTAGATTCCGTTAGCTACAATTCGCATTTGGGCTCGTTTTACCCTTAAACGTTCAGATAACAGGGGGGGGGCTATTAATGGCACTGGGTGTAACTGTAGAAGCGACATATTCTTGTTGGCTGACCAATGAAGTTGCCCGAGGGAAGGTATAGCTGCGTGTTAGCCAATAAGAGAAAACGACGAGCACTGTTGATTAATTAAGTTCATTCCCAAAACAAGATCAAGATAAGCTAATATTTATATCAAGATAAGATAAGCTAAGATAAGCTCTTTTTATAAAGCGAGGTAAGTTGGGTCAAAGCTCAAGGCTCTATCTTTTTTGGTTCGTTGAAACTCGTGTGTTATGATATGGAAACTGATTTTCCTACTCCTTTTACAGCCACTAAAAGGTAAACCACCTACAGCACTCCACTCATAACTACCCATAAAAAAATCCCTAGGGGGAATAAAGAGGGGGAGGGGTGATGTGTCTTTTGTGTCGTCACAAGGGAAGTGCCCCCCTACCGTTTACAAGAAAGTGTTGTGTAGTGAAAAAGTACACTTCAAGTGCCACCCTGCATAAAATTTGTACCCCTACCCCAAACAGGAAGTATGATCGAAAGTTACTTCCGTGCAGTCAAAATTCAAGAAGTACCGTATTTTCTCGAGTGAGCGCCGCCCCCGTATGAGCGCCGCCCCCGAATGAGCGCCGCATTTGAGACAAATAAAGTTAAAGAGCGCCGCCCCCGAATAAGCGCCGCAGCTATCTTTTTTGTAAATGCGGCGCTTAATCGAAAATCCGTTAGAATCGTTAGAATCCAACAGGAAAAAAAACTGCAAATCTTAAATCAACCTCGGGGAATTTATTTTCTTGGTAAACACACTTAAGTTTGAAGTGAGAATATTTTAAAGCTTTTTAACTCTCTCTTGAGAAAGTGAGAATATTTTATTTAACTCTCTCTTGAGAATCTTTGCTATGTGTACATCTGTCGTGAAAGCAGAAAACTTTGCTGGAACAACAAGGCCAATTTCTCTTTCTTTTTTCTGCAACTTGTCAGCTATAATGAACATCTGCTTCTTGTTTTGCAATATCCGCATTAACACCTTCAATTTACACTGACATCATACAATTTTATGAACCTTTAAAGATATTTTCAAACTTGTATGTTTTACTACTAAAAGATTGTTTAAAACTTATTTGTTTTATTAAAAAAATGACAGGATTTTTAAAAAGCGCCGCCCCCGTTAGAGTGCCGCCCCCGAATAAGTGCCGCATCAAAAGACCGGAAATTCAAAGAGCGCCGCGGCGCTCATTCGAGTAAATACAGTACTTGCTATCTATCTTTGAAAGTGGCCTCTACACGTTTAGTGGTTTCTACATGTTTGCGGTTCAAAAATTATGGTGAAAGGGCGATTTTTGGGACTTTTTGGACCTACTGGACCATCTCTGGCACACGTAGCTCGGCACAAAAAAGGGGTTTCCAATCGAAAAGTTTTGCCCCGGTTAGAACTAATGTTAGCACACGTTATGGGCCATTTACGTCGTCTGTACCTGTTGTCACCTCTAAGTACGAAAACATCAAAAAGTGTCGAAGAAGTGGTCCACAATCCCGTTGTTTACGTCACTGTGACGTGGATGCCATGCCCAATCGAGCTTCAATTTGCACCAAAATATGCGCCCTCTACCCCACAAGTCTCTGTCGATACTGTATGCGTTTGCAGAGATATTTATGAAAATTTTTTGTCTCGGTGCGCCCTTTTTTGCCAATTTACTCTATGACCCCCACTACCCCCACTTCTGAGTTTGTTTTATAAAGATTTGACATTTTACAGATTCATCCTCTAAAAATAATTTTGTCGATATCTCTTGTGATTTCCGAGATGCCCACTTTCGGTTGGTGAAAAGATTTGCCACATGAATATAAAGACGCTAGTTGGTCTTAGAAACATTCTGCTCTGTTTTGTCAACATGAAATTTTAACATTCCTTTATTTTTATAAAGTAGAGTTGGAACATTAAACTGAACAAAGAGCATTTTATTTTCACACGATGCAACAGGATCATTGAATGCCCTTCAGTTTGGAACCGACTCTACTTTTGTTGCCTCAAAATTTCACATCTTCGACTTGTCTGTTAACCATTGCCCGTTTCAGAGGAAAGGGCGGGGTAACAAGGATATCTTCGAGGGAATCCACAGACAAGCAAGCTTACTTTAAATATTTTCCTGAACCCAGGGGCGTAACTTGGCCAATAGTTTTGGGGGGGGTGAAAAGGGTTTCTGCCCTGCAAAACTGAGTGGTGCCCTGCAGACCTCGTAGCAACGGTTTGTCTATAGGTTACTAGTGAAAATTTTACCAGTGTACACTGGTCTTTACCAAGGACGAACTTCTAAGCAAAAAAAACAAACTTGAAACTTCATTGCCTATGAAATTTCTATTTCTCTACGCGAGCGTAAATTGTTTTTTTATATTCACTTCATTTAATGTTGGTTTGCAAAATTAAGCTAATAAACAGCTAATTGGGGGGTGGGGGGGAAGTGGGTACATGATGTAGACAGCGCAACGAAATTTAGCCCAGTGGGGCTAAGAGTCGAGTTTAGTGAGGTAGGAGGACCCACCATGGTTGGGTCCGACGTGAAGAAATTTTTTGAAATTATACCTTGTAAAAAGGGCTAAAAAGCATCTTTCAGACAAAAATTTAGCAAAATACTATTGTGCTAAAAGAATTGATTGTTTATTGAAAATATTATTGTTAATTGGGAAAAAACGGGAGGGGGATGTCATGCTAAAACTCTAGTGCTAGACGTTGGGGAAGGAAAGAAACGGCAACCTTTCGTTTCAGATTGCACGTAGTTGTGAATGACAGAGGAAGATGTTGTTTTGATTGGGAGAATTTTTTTTCCTGAACAGAAATGTGCAGTTTCTTGTATCAAGAAGGCCATGTTTACACATCCAAAATTAAAACATTGTAATGATACAGAAAATGATTTACTGAATTAATGCAAATAAAAGAAAAATATACGTGAAAAAGTTAGCAATTAGATGAAACAAAACCGGTATCTTAACGATTTATTATGTTTTTTAGTTCATGCACTGTTAAAAAGTAATAGAAAAAATGATAAAAAAATTCCTATCTTGACCAAAGTGAAGGACTTCAGCCCCATATTCCCCCCCAGTGACGCCGTGCTTGTAATGAAAATAATTTACAACTTAAATTAATTTGCATGACTCAACCTTGCCCTCATAAACATATGCATCAATCATTGCATCCATTGGCTATGACTTTCGGTAAGAAATGCTTTCGCTTTGCAAATAACGGAGCTTTTCCTTACATACCTGTTCCGTTCTTTAAAATGCAATGTCAGGAAGGGAGGTTCATAACAAATACGATATTTCAAAATTCCTAAACGGCTCTTTACGAACTTCAGAGGTGGCATTTCTGCGTGGCAATAAAGCTCTTCTTGGCGCCCTGCGAAATCGACTATTTTTTGGATTGGAGGGGTGTCACACCCCCCACACCCCCCCGGTAGTTTCGCCCCTGCCTGAACCTAGAATAATTATCTGAAAATAAGGGCAAAACATCACCCTATGCCCAGGGTGTGACAGTTCGATTCGGAGCAGGATAATCTGTGGTATACCATTGTCTTTTGACGACTTAGCAAAAGAATAAACAGGTATTTGCGACGAAACAATATTATACTGCAATGAACCTCTTAATTTTTTGTTTCTAGTTCCCTGGTTCCCAAGAACGATTGCTGATTTGGATATATTTGCACATAGGGTGCTCACCTATGGCGCAGAACTCGACGAAGATCACCCGGTATGTACAACCCCCCTTTGGACACAACAACCTACAACCCTTGATAGGGCTGTTTGAACAAACGCCCAAATATACGCAAAAAGCATGCATGCAAAGCCAATATCTGTCCCCTTCCCCCATTTTGATAGCAGATATGTTAAAAAGGCTGTCGCGATCATATTCTCTACAAAAGGATACTATGCTTTTACTAGATACGAGTCTTTCCTTTTCCATTCATATGAACGCAACTATTGTTAAGTTGAGAAAAGCAATAGGAATGTTGAAATTTCTTTCAAAATATATTCCATAGGAGACATTGAATGTACTTTGCAAACTTAACGTTAGATTCAACTGAGACTTTGCAGATGCAATATACCATATTTAGGCCATTCTGAATAGTCTTTGAAATGTTTTGGTACAACCTCGAATCAGTGTAATACCCTATATCATTTGTAATTGATTTTTGCATCCTTGGCCCTTGAGGTTAAATCGAAATTTTTTAACCACTCAATACTTTTTATCAGGACCCTAATGATAACAGTTCATCTAGTACTGATAGGCTATCCTGATAAATCTGTCGATCATTACTATTATCTTTTATTATTATCTATTATTATTATTATCATTATTATTATTATTATTATTTTTTTTTCTTTTCTCATTACTACGATGTAATAGTTTTTATTTTGTAAACACAGGCTAGCCAGTTACAAATTACCTTGTAATAGTGAGATTTGTAGTTGTAGTTTTAACAGGAATTCAAAATGAAAAGTTTCCATTATTATAGACCTTTCAGATTATCTCTCACCCTCTATCATAACAGGAGACTCTTCCCGTCCTGATCTACTAATAGTCACTTCTGACCTTCGCCTTTTCATGCTCGAGCTTACAGTAGGACACGAAACTAACTTGGATGTTAATGCTAACCGCAAAAGAGAGAAATACTCGCATCTCATTCACAGCCTAAGCTCAGCCCATTCTTCTATCATGTTTGTTAATCTTTCGATCAGTTCCCTAGGTATCTTTGGTCTCTCCTGCTCCTCTTTCATCGACATGTGCAACGCTCTAGATATCAGCGAGAATCATCTCCGCTTCATGATCTCCAAACTATCCAACTTAACTATCCGTACTACCTTTTACATTTTCTGCCGCAGAAATAAATCTTGGAATAATCCTGAACTTCTTCAATTCTAACGATCTCTGCTACTGACGACTTCTAAAACAAACAATGACGAACACACTTTTTCCTTCTTTTTTTTGTTAATTTCTTTTGTTTGTGCTTGTAATAGTCTTTTTCTTTGTAAACCCAGGCTAGCCAATTGCAAATTACCTTTGTAATAGTGAAATTTGTAATTGTAGTTTTAATTGAATTGAAAATTAAAAGTTTCCATTATTATTATTATTATTATTATTATCAAGTGATATTATCAAGGAACTGAGCCCTACCTATAAACGTGTTATCTTTGTTAATCTTTCTATGAGTGCCCTTGGCATTCTGGGAACCTCATCTATCTCTCTCTCTGACATGCTACATCAACTCAATTTCGACTCCAGTCAAACCAAAATTCATCTTGATAAAACTCATGAACATTTCTATCCGCTGCACCTACTATATCTTGATTGGCTGATTGGCTTCTAAATATTGTTATAAAAAGTAATGCAGATAAGCCAATTATATGATGCCTGTAAAAGCAAGTCGTATGATTGTAGATTTAAAATATATTCAATGAAAATGAGATGTTTAAAAAAATCATTTTTTATGAATAGGGCTTCAAAGACGAAGTGTACCGAGCCAGAAGGAAAGAATTTGCCGACATTGCTTACAACTACAAACAGTAAATAAGAATTTTATTTTTGATATTTCATACTTTCAAAAGAATTTAAGGGTAAAATAGAAAAGCAAGTGCACTTTGTGTGCAGTTTTTTATGTGCGTCTTTATGGGTATTCGGTGAGAAAAAACAACGAAAAAAAAATTTTTAGTACTGAAATTAAAGTATGTCGAAGGAAAAAATTTTGATAGTGTTCATTTCGTTTGCTTATTAATTGGACCACGCGTTACGCTTTGTTTGTTTATTCATTTGATCTATATGTCATCTGATGCACAAAACGATTGAACATATGCTTACGGCTTAAACAAAAAAATTCAACAGTCTTCATTTGCAACGAATTTATATAGGACGTCACAGCCAAAAACAGGCAAGGTTAATATAATATAAGACTTCAAAAAATTGACTTTTTTGGGTTATGGTAACATACTCGGTTTAAGTGTATTTTCATTGTCAAATACTTTTTGGTTGCATATACAAGGGTTTTGGTCTGGGCTCTGTTGCCTACTCTTCCTCTGATTGGCTGTTAGCCGTACAACAAGGAAGCGTCTGTAAAGTGAGGCAGTAACGAAACAGAGGCTCGTGGAGTAATTGATAATCAATGGAGCTGTGCGTTTTGTACGTCGAGTAATGAACAAAAGTTGATGCAATAAAATAACGACTTTGTACAAAAAATGAATTATTAGCTCGTTGAGTAAGTCTAGCTCAGGTGGCCTTTAAACACCGTTTGGTTTTGATAATGTTAGCCTGCGTGCAGAATTTACTTTCCATTGCGAAGGAGTGCAAGGCAGTCACGGAAGATTCAGGTCCCCAAAACTGGGTTTTAATCAGTGGCGTAACGGAGGCATCTGGGGCCCTAATGAAAAACACCCCTATTTACGGACTGCAAGGAAGTCCCATTCAGCGCTTTAGGGCATGTCAAACACGAAGCAGGATGAAAAATAATACTTTTTCTTATTATCTAGGGGGGGGGGGGGGGGGGCAAGTTTATAGAAGCTTTAGATGAAAAGTTTTAACTTTTAAACATGAGGTGAAGTAGAGTGAAGTATTGAAAACATGGTCATAAAATGATTTTGGGTTTGGTCGGCGGCCTTTAGTTTTCAAACAAGGGTGTCCTAAACTGCGTTACGCCTTTTTTAGTGGTTTCTCTTTTATTTCATGATGCCCAATCATTGCATACAAAATGTAATACATATACCACATGTATGAATAAGCATTTGCAATTAAGAATATTGCAGATCAAATTATACAAAATTATAATATTGCTGTGAGAATTTTTGCATTTCATGGCCATGTAGGATAATTTACAGTTAATTTTAATTGGATGGTTTGTTAATCAACGGAGTCACAACATTGCCTGAATACTGTCGTGAAGATCACGTCTTTGTGCATCATAAGCATGACAGAACAGAATTGGCCATCATTTATAAAACATCGCTGAAGTTAAGCTTGCTTGTATGATAATTTAGATTACTAAGTTCAACACGAAATTGTGTTAAAACTGATAAACCGTATGTTTCACACTGATAACGTTTACATATTTCTATTAGCTATCAAGAAATTCCAATAGTTGAGTATACTGAAGAGGAAACCAAGACATGGTAAGAGTCTATATATAAAGCTCTGTACATTTCTGATATGACGTGACGAGTGGAGAGGGATACATTTTTGTTAATGAATTCTTGAGACCTGACATACCGTATTTCCTATAAAGAACGCCGCGGCGTTTTTTACAAACTCCAAATTCTGGATGCGGCGTTCAATAGAGGGCGGTGTTCATCAGAGGGCGGCGTTCAATACAAAATGAAAAGTTTGTCAAATGGAAAATGACAAGAAAAATGCGACGAAAAAAGATAAAAAGAATGTCAAGTCAAGTCAATGAATGGCAATATCCCTGTCTCCGTCAGAGTCCTCGTCTCTATGAGATAAAAGCTTTCATGGCTTTCGATTAGCAAGCGTATAAACAATTCCTTTTTTTTCTTGTTTGGTGTGTTTTCTAATAAACGCCGCTTTCAAGATGCGGCATTCAATAGAGGGCGTTGTTTATCAGAGGGCAGCGTTTTTTCCAAATGGTTGGCTGAAGGTGCGGCGTTCATTAGAGGAAAAAAGGTATTCATATTGTGATCATTCCATATTGTGATAGCAGATCAATAAAATTGTGAAATTCCGATAAAGGGAGCAAAACCATAAAAAACATTTGTTTTGAAACTGAGAAAAACTGAATTTTTGTAAAATCCAAAAACACGATTGCTCTGTTGGCCAAGAACTCAAGACACAAGAGATAAAAACATACTTCCCACATCTAAAAACAGCATCAGAACGGAAGCGAATCTCTTGACGTGATAAAAGGGTCATGAACATTCATGACATCATAATTAAGAAACTATAAGAAACAACGAGCATTTCAGAACATTAAGAAACTGGACTACTCAACATCGACCTTTGTTTCTTATAAAAAAATTAGTGTAGTAACAATATCCTTATACTAATGGGATCGCCAATGCTACCAAAAGGAAATACCCTTGATTAAACTTTTGCTCCTAGTGACAGTTTTGAAATCAAAGCTCCACAGCATGAATGACATTTAAAGGACGTGGTCTTAAAACGTGTTATCGTGTATAATAGAAGTTTGTTGTGGTGTTTTCTTTAGGGGAGAGGTGTACAAAAATGTGACAAAATTATTTCCAACTCATGCTTGCAAAGAGCTTAATGACGCCTTCGCTGATTTGGAGAAGGAATGTGGCTACAGGTGATAAACTTTTCTTTGGATATTTTATTTCAAAATATTTACCCTAAATATAAACGTGATGGTATATTTTTTATTTATTGAAGGAAGTTTGAGTAAATGCAAATATCAAATTCACGACTAGCGATACTGCATCGTTGTCCTACCCTAGTGGTGTCCCCTGTCCTACCCTGGGTACCAGAGCCGCAAAAATTAAAATTAAAATTGCGGCTCTGGTACCCAGGGTACCCCTGTCCCTGCTTATTTTTTTTCAAAATTTTTCTCACCCTCTGCTCTAGTATGGAACCCCAGTTTATTTATTTTTTGTCATTGCCCTTTAGGGTTACCCAAAAATATATTTTTTATCATAACTCTTCTAATCTACCTTCCTGACCTTTTTAGTTGTTAAAATCGATGTTAATTGAAGAGGCCCCTTGTATTGTGCTTCTTTATGCACTAGCGAGTTTAATTATGGTATTATACCAGACTCTCCCAACTCCAGTTTATTCGCACCCTCCCGGTTATAAATTATTTCGTGAGATTCAGACCCCCTGTTTTTTCCAGTCTCAGTTTATTGGGCATCTAAGAGTAACTGGTGTATTATATGATAACAATTATCCACTGTTGTCAATGATATGTTTAAACATGTTTATACAGCGTGAAAAACATATAATTTTTATTTCAGCGAGCATAGAATCCCTCAATTACGACATGTATCGAATTTCCTGAACCGTAAGTGTAATTAGATTTTTGAATTTTGATTAGAATTTTCCAACAGCAGGTAATTTCAGCTATTATATAATTAACCATTACAAAGTTTTGACAAATGACAACTTGTTAAAGAAAAGAGAGTGATCTTTTTTTGTTTCGTTTGCTGACATTTTCTTTTCTTAAATTTGCAGGAAAGACAGGATTCTTGTTGCGACCGGTCGCTGGATTTCTCTCACCCAGAGACTTTTTGGCTGGTCTGGCTTTTCGCGTCTTTCATGCCACCCAATACATAAGGCATTCGTCAATGCCTATGTACACCCCAGAGCCGTAAGTATTGCTTAATTTATGTTTCCGACCAAATAATGTTACAATATAGTGGCGTAGCCAGGGTGGTAAGATCTGGGGAGAGGCAAAGGTGCGTTCTGCAAGGGAAAAATAGGGATCCACGCCCTTGGAACGCAGAAAATACCCTTTTTCATAGAGATTTTTTGGGGAGGAAGCTTATAATGTAGTGGCATTTCAACTCTAAAAAAAATCTTTGGTTAGTTTTACAACAATGACGTAACGAAGGCATCTTGGGTCCTAAGGAAGACACTGAGACGGGGCCTTTATTAGCAAACTGCAAGACGTCATATTCATGTCAAACACAAAAGCTAAATTTCCACTGTTTTCCCTGGCAAAGGGTCGATTGGTCAGGTAGATTTCCGAGTTATAACTGAGTTTGGGGGTCTGGGGGTCCGGGGCCGTGGAGGGGGAAGGGGGGTCTGAAACTTATGCTGTCTTCAGCCCAGGATACACTGACGTTATTTGGTTGATCCTTACACGTTGTAGCAAATCAGCTGATCCAATGATCAAATTTCCACATCTTAATTCACAGTGATGTTTGCCACGAGCTGATTGGTCACGTGCCTTTGTTTGCAGATCCAGAGTTCGCTAGATTTTCACAGGTTTGATCCCTTCTAAACATTTAGCAACTTTTAAAGAAATTTTTAATTTTTTTAACGTTTGAAAAATTCATACTTGAACCAGCCTTTGCTTGGAGTAATGTTACTCAAACAATTTCACAAGTTTTTTTCGAGCAGTACCTTTGAATTTCATTATAGATTTTCCCAGTGTTTTTTGTTGAGTTTGTGGGTTTTTGTTTCTAACCTAATTTGCCTTTGCAGGAAATAGGTTTGACATCGCTTGGTTTATCTGATGAGTGGATATCCAAACTGGCAACGGTATGTTTAAACTGTTTTTAGTCCGAATGCATAATGATAAGATGCAAAAAGAGGCATTTGAAGATATTTTTACTTACAAATGTGTTTAAAGGCATCACTTGAATACTGTGAAACAATGCTGTAACTTGAATACTGCGAAAAAACTCTAGAAGAACCTGAAAGTCACTGCACAGGATTTCTCATAAGCCACCAAGCTACAGCTGCTACATCTAATTGATTAAACGTATCTGTAGAGCAGAATTTATATCAGTGCAGAAAGACCTACAAACATTTTTGAAACACGTTCGATATAAAGTAGTGAACTGTAACGTGTTTGAGCTTTTCTTTCAGGCTCAGGTGAATTGAGTCACATCAAAAAAACTACTAGCTACCTGTGCATTAAGTAAAGAACTGAATTCGTAATTGTTTTGGTAGAAGTAAAATCAATAATCATCTCTAAGCTCAAGGAAGTCATACTCTGTTTCCTCTATTTATTTGTAAACATTTTTATGCCAGATTTGCTTCTGATAATAGCACGAGAGTTTAAATTACAATTATCTTGTACTTGAATCTGACACTAAAAGAATTGCGATCTTTAAAATATGATCATTAGAAGAATCGCTCCTAAGACTTTCTGATAACAAAATATTGTTTGCTTATAGTTTTTCTATTTGTTCTTCGTTTGTTCAACTTGTTCTTGGGTTATTCCACTGTCCTTTATTTGTTTAACTTGTTCTTGGGTTGCTCAACTTACTCTTTCGTTGTTCAACTTGCTGTTGGGTTGCTCATCTTATAATTTTGTTGTTCTACTTTTTCTTAGTTTGGTCAACTTGTTTTTGGGTGGTTTATTTTCTTCTTTTGTTGTTGAATATATTCTTGGGTTGCTCAACTTGCTTTTTTCCACTTGTTCTTGTGTCGCTCAAATTGTTATTTTGTTGTTCCACTTGTTCTTGGGTTTTTCACTTTGTTTTTGGGTGGTTAATTTTTTTCTTTTGTTGCTCAACCTGTTTTTTTTGTTTTTAAACTTATTCTTTGGTTGTTTGACTTGTTTTTTCATCGTTTCATTTGTTCTTGGGTTGTTCAAATTGTCCTTCTTTATTCAACTTTTTTTGGTTATTTAACTGGTTATAATATTGTTCAACATATTCTTCCACTTGTCCTTCGTTTGTTCTACTTTTCCTTCGTTTGTTCCACTTGTCCCTTGTTTGTTCGTCTTGTTCTTTGGTATTTAAACCTGGTCCTCGTTTTTAAACTTATTCTTTGATTGACTAACTTGTTCTTTCATCGTTCAACTTGTCTTTGGGCGGTTCATTTTGTTCTTTTGTTGTTAAACTTGTTTTTGGATAGTTCCATAGGTTATTCCGTAGGTTATTTACCTTTATCTTGTGTTGTTCAACTTCAGGCCTTATTTTCTTGTTCAACTCGAGAAAATTTAATATTGCACCGAGTGCATTTTGAAATTCAAACAGATTAAACAGACACTGAATATAAGTAAAGCTGTTGGTTTAAAACGAAAATGCATAACCTAAAGAGGTGTAGGGTTTTTGATTATTTGTCGCTTCAGATTATAGTATAAACGTTTCTTTTTTGATGTACTTACTTTGCTTTCCATATGAATACGAGATATGTTGTGTTTGTCTGCTTTTAGCTTTTATTTGCATAATATTCTTGATGATTGTGTTACAGCTTCTTTATTACTGAAATTTTTATTCTGAACAGATTTGAAACTTGGAGGCCTGTTCACTTTGTTTATGGGTTGTCCTGTTTTAAGATCTTGAGACCTACCCTTTTTTAACATTAAACAACAAAGCTAAATCGCACAAAATTCTTATTAATGTCAATCATGTCTTTTTATGTCAGTTGTATTTGTATACTGTGGAGTTTGGTCTTTGCCGTCAGCAAGGAAAACTCAGAGCCTATGGTGCTGGGCTGCTGTCATCTTTTGGAGAATTGCAGGTAGGCTTCATTTATATTTTAATGTGTCCAGAGTTCTAAAAACACCTCAACCCTCTTTCGAACAAAATTTTGTCCTATTTGATTTCCTCAAATTTTCCTTGTCTCTCTTTGATAAAAGTTACTTAGAAATATTAATTGAGTAAAATCATCTATGTTTGTCAGGAAACAATTGTGTCCTATATGATTTCCTCAAATTTTCCTTGTCTCTCTTTAATAAAAGTTACTTAGAAATATAAATTGGGTAAAGTCATCTATAGTTTGGTCCTTATGCTTTGTCAGGATAAAAGAAAAGTTTAAGCACAACAGTGAATTCCTCTCGCTTCCTATCAAGTTATGCAATGTCCTTCCTCAAAACTGCTATATCGTTGGATATACTTCCTCCGGCTCACAGCCATCATGTCGTGGAACCTTAATACTTTCTGGACTCTGAATGTGTCATCTGAGGAAACAAACTTAAATCTACCTTAAGGGGTATGTGTTTTGCAATTAACCTCCATGAAGCAATTAACAAGAAAAAGTGAGGCAAAAGGATAGGGTTTCTGTTGTGTTCCCCTTTTTGTGCTAGCCAAATTTTTTACGGAGGGACTGTTTCAAAGGTCTTCAGTAGGGTCTAAATTTGATTCTTTATCTTTATTCTTTATGAACGTTGAGCGGCTTTCGTGTGTAAGTATAGTTCCTTTAAAGAAGAAGGGTTTTGTGAATGGAGAAGAACTATGAAAAAGAGTTAACATTTTCCTAAGCATTGCTGGAATTTAGATCTGAAAGCTTTTAGTATTTAGGCATTACGAATCGAGTGTTTTGCGAGCGCAATTGAGAGAAATGGCTGTTTTTTTATTAATGATAAATTTCATCCACTAATGACTATGCCAAAAATTAATTGAAGGTGGCTGTTTTGCCAGCCACAGTCCTCTTGCTTGCCTGACTTCTAATATGAAGTCATCGTTTCCAGGCTGGGTTGTACCATTGACTGCAGGGAAATTCTAAGTTCAAAATGCAGGTAAATGCCACTGGTAAAACGGGCTTTAATCAATAGAAACGTGATCCCTGGATGAAATGAACTCTTGATACGCTAGTGATTTGGGAAAATGATATTTTTGCAAGAAGCTGCAAGTCTCTGGACTGCAAAAATCTAAAATGAATGAAAGAAAAAAAAAGCCACCAATAAAAATGCAAGAAATGATCATTGCTAAGCAACATTAGATTTGCAAGAAGCATCTATGATTTCTTTTGTCATAACAAAAACCTCTCCAAGGCCTGCCCAGTTTCGTAGCAAGCGGAGGTCTCATGAGTTGGTCGATAAGTCTTCAATTGGTTCACAGAATCTTTAGTTTTTGGGTAAAGTCGTCTATCTTTAGGTGTAATGGCACCTAAATTTTTCTTCATCCATGTCTTCGTTAGTGAATTTCACTTTTGACGACCCTTCACTTCTTTTTGGATTAATAACCCTTGTTTAGGCCAACTTTGATAATAACATTAAGACTTCAGCTATCGGTTGTTAACTGGATAGCCTCTTCTAAGCGACTTCAGCTGGATTGTCATTGGTCAATCCTTTCTTTCCATAGAAAGGAGGACAATAATTTCTTTTGAAGTAAAAGAACTGTCATCGGGGTCGAAGAGGCGATTTCTCTCTAGTTAGTTTTTCTAGGCTCAATGTACATGCCAGAAGGCAATATCCGAGTATGTGCAAAAGCTGAGTTTTCGTTTTGATGATCAAATGTCAGTAGAACGGGCTTTCGGCCCGTGAAGGGTTAGTGTTACAGATCAGAAATACGACAGGAAGACGGAGGTCTCTACAGTCTATATAGTTTGTTTGTTCTTGGAAATTTCTGAATTATTTGGGGTTCTTAGATACTTTTTATTATGACACCAAGATGAAAAAAGTGCCAAAAAATAATAAGGAGCTCCAATAAGGTGCTTTCTTTTGGTAAGTAGAGATCGAATCAATTAGAGTTCGACTCATACTGTAAGAAAAGTTGGGGCTGGTAATTACCCCCCTCCCAAATCCTTTCAAACTTAGTCCACATAAGTCTTCATCTAATCGTTAAAATTTCACTTGGCAGGAATATCTAAAGATTTACTAGGCAAAATTGCACTTGGTTGATAGCTCTGAAATTAGACAAAAAGGGCGTGATCTCATGGGCAACGCTCATTTTCCTCTCTCTTTGAAGTACGTCGCGCCGCCACTAAGAATCACTATGCAGCCTCCATGCAGGTCTTAGAATTTACGAGCTACTCAAAGAAATACAGTGCATACATGCTGTAAATACATTTATACCTTACACGCCAACTGAATTAATGTCCCTTTCGAAACTTCTCTTCTACCAACAGTACAGCATCGAAAGTGACAAATGCGAGAGAAAGCCGTTTGAGCCAGAAACGACTTGTGTTCAAGAGTATTTTGTCACAAAATACCAGACAGTTTATTTTGTGTCAAACAGCATTCAAGAAGCCAAAGAAAAACTAAGGTTGGTGGATGCTAAAGTTTTCTAAGTGGGGTAAATTCTCTATTCAACGCCCTGTGCTTTTATTCTCCAAAAGGGGGTGCTTAATAGGGGAAAGCATTGAAAATTGGGGGCGTAAATTAGTTGCGACTCGATTGAAACCCCATCATTGATCGTACATCTTTGATAAAAATCGTATTGTTTCATCTAAATATTCCTAAAAATACTTTTGTTTTAGTTGAAATCTTGTAAGTTTTTAATAGTGTGTATTGTTTCTAATGGAATTTAAAGCTGGGATATGATTCAAGTGAGTCCATCCACCATGCCCTTGTAGACTACGCCCAATGAACATACGGAATTCTTTTCCAAACATCTTCTTGCAGGAAATTAATTGAAGACATCTTTGAAACATATTAAATACATATAATAGAATAAACGATATTTTTCTATTAAGATATGACCATTAAGATAAGATATGGCTATAAGGTGCTATATAAAATCGATTTCTCTTTCAGATCCTGGGCATCTCATATTCCTCGTCCATTCCGGGTCCATTACAATCCTTACACAAGGTCAATTGATGTTGTAGAGAGCAAGGAGCAACTAATTGAAATCGTTGCAGATTTGAAGTATCAACTTGGTAACTTTATGGATTTTGCCACTCATATTGGTTGAATCAATTTTTTTGGATTTTGCCAGTGGTATTAGCTGAATCATAATTTTTTTTATTTTTTCAGTCATATCAAGTAAATGATTATTTTATGGATTGTCTTCTTTCCCACGTTTTCAATATTTGGTTAGAATTCTCATTTTATGTTCTCCATGAAAAGTTTCATTTTTATATATCCCAAACATCCGAATACTTTGAAGCCAATATTCTTCGACTAACCATTTGTTTACAAACTTGAATATCACAATAGTTCCAAAAGCCCTTCCCAAAGGAATGCCCTTTTTTGAAAGAAATTACTACATTTTTGTTCAGAATTTTTCACAACCAGTCAAAGTTACTAAATTTTTGTTCAGGATTTTTCACAACGACAAAGAACTTGGTGCCTTGATAACTTTTGCATCCTAACATCTTTCATTGTTTTTTTTATTAATATTTCATTATTTTCGTCATATTTATTCTTTGATTGTGTTCATTTGACTCATGTGTTTTTGCTGTATTGTTGAAGAGTTTTCTTTTTGTTTGGTACATATTTTGGTTATTTACATATTTATACATATTGTGTTTTTTTTAGAATGTGCGAATGTGGGTGCATTGTGGCTTATTGTCCCCTAGGACCAGCGGGAAGGCTTATTTTTGATGATGCTGCTTGAAATTAATCAATAGCGGGTAACAATGGGGTGTTTCCGTGTATCCATTCAAACAGTGTTGTGGCTTCAGGGGAGGGCTAGGGGGCTACAGCCCCTCCGTCGAAAGCATCTAGCCCCCCATCGGAGGAAATTTTAGGTTATTGTCGGAGCTAACTTGACAAAAAACGTACGAAAACTGCTTATTTTAGTCATTTTAGCCCCCCCCCCTGTCGGAAGCTCCAACCCCTCTATCGGAAGATTTCTGGCGCCACCTCTGCATTCAAATATCGCCTCCCGTGAGCAAAAGTGCTCGGCCGTTCTGTGTTCTTGTTCACATCGTCAAGCTTTACTGGATATGTTGTTGTTTTATCGCAGTTTCAATCATCGTTCTGCCATTGGCACTAATGATACATTTACTTGCAGTACACTCTGTGGCAACACAGCTACGTCTGATGCCTTTATTTGCACGCATACATCGCCTCGCGAAGATAGTAATTTACACGACTGTTGAGCTTTTCAAGCGTATTCCCCGCCTTATAATTGGTCTTACTCACTGCAAGCGCTTAGCTGTCAAGCAATTTATTTTTCTGTATGCGTATTTTTACATTGGGTGTATAACTTGCTATACATTTCATACGCAATAGTTGGTTTTCAGAACGATTTTGCTTAGTGGTGATGTAGAAACAAACCCTGGTCCCGAAACACTGGATTTTTGTACATGGAATTTAAATAGCATCAGTGCGCATGACTTTTTACGAGTCTCTCTTATAGAGGCTTACAACTCAGTGTATAACTATGACCTAATCGGTATCGTTGAAACTCACCTTGACAGCACTACTGATAACGATAGGCTTGCGCTAGATACCATTCTCAAAATGTGAAAGGGGGTGGCGTAGGGCTTTATGTAAAAGATTCCCTTGCTTCAAAAAATCGTTCTGATTCAGTAACTCTCCCTGAATGCGTTGTTTCTGAGATTCATGTGGGCAGGAAAAAGTATTTTTTCGCCGTTATTTATCGAAGTCCAAGCCAAGATCAGACCGAGTGTGATAACTTCATAATTAACTTTGAATTATTACTATCCAAGATATATGCTGAAAATCCTTTCTGCGTTGTGATCATCGGTGATTTCAACTGTCGTTCAACTCAATGGTGGGAAAATGATATTGAAAATAATGAGGGGAAATTACTTGAGCCCCTTGCTTCTGAACTTTGTCTTCATCAATTAATCTCAGAACCAACTCATTTAATGAGCGATTCTAAATCTTGTCTTGACTTAATTTTTACGAATCAGTCCAACCTCTTTATTGAAACTGGTGTTCATCCATCTTTAAATGAACAGTGTCATCATCAAATTGTCCATGGAAAACTATCAGTCTTAAAGGCCCTTAAACATAAAATCACCTCCTTACACTCGCAGGATTTGGTACTATGACAAGGCTGACTTTATGGCCATCATGAAAAGTATTGAAATGTTTAATTGGAAAGAGCATCTCGATAATATACCAAGCCCTAATGAGCAGGTCAAATTGCTCAATGAAGTACTTTTGAACATTTTTTCCAACTTCATTCCTAACAAAGTTAAAACGATTAGACCTCGGCAAGCACCCTGGATAACGCAAACAGTTAAAAATTTTATAAGGAGAAAGAATCATGCTTACAAAAGCTTCCTTGCTCAGTACTGTTCTAAACAAGGCCAAAATTCCGACAATACCACCGCTCCTAGACAATGGGCTATTTGTGACTGATTTTACTGGAAAGGCACAATTATTCAACGATTATTTCATACTTCAGTGTACGACGATCGACACAGGCAGTGCAATTCCAGAACATATCCCAGTAACTTCTACTTTGTTAAATACCTTTGCTATCTCCGAAGAAAAGATACTCCAAATAATACGGTCACTAAATCCTAACAAATCACATGGCTGGGATAAAATATCTGTAAGAATGATCAGGCTGAGTGATGCTGCATTAGTCGCTCCATTAAGGATAATATTCACAAATTGCCTGAGAAGTGGTATATTTCCCCAAATATGGAAGCATGCTAATGTAGAGCTTGTTCACAAGAAGAACGAGAAAAATTTGAAGGGAAACTACCGTCCAATTTCGCTGCTGCCAATCTTTGGGAAAATACTTGAAAAACTCATCTACGACTCTCTTTATTCACATCTTGTTTCATCTGATTTACTCAACCCAAATCAGTCAGGTTTTCGTCCAGGTGACTCAACAGTCAACCAGCTAAACTCTTTAACGCACACAATTTTCAAAGCATTTGACTGTAATCCTCCTCTTGATGTTCGTTCTGTGTATCTTGATATCTCTAAGGCATTTGACAGAGTATGGCATGATGGGCTGATTTATAAGCTAAAGTGATGTGGCGTTTCAGGAAGTCTTCTTTCTCTTGTTGAGAATTTTCTTAAGGATAGACAGCAGCGAACAGTTTTGAATGAGCAGAATTCTTCTTGGGGAGATATTTCGGCAGGAGTACCACAGGGCTCTATTCTAGGACCTGTATAAGTTAAGTTGATAAGTCAATGGGCTCATGATTGGAGGATGTCGTTTAATCCTGATCCGCAAAAACAAGCTGTGGAACTAATATTTTCAAGGGAAAAAATGAACTTGATCATCCAGGAATTCTCTTTAATAACATACCGGTAATGAAAGTAGATGAACATAAACATTTAGGAATTTTACTAGATTAAAAGTTGTCTTTCTCTGCCCATATAATCAGCTATCTCCAAAACAATAAAGGGTATTGGCTTGCTGAAATATCTCTCCAAATATCTGCCCAGGCATACCCTAAACGAGCTATATAAGCTCTATGTGCGACCACATCTCGACTATGGGAATGTTATTTACCATATTCCAGCAAAAGTATGCGAGTTCAGTGGTAGCGTTATTTTACCGAGCTTGATGGGAAAATTAGAGTCTGTTCAGTATTCTGCTGCGCGAGCTATTACAGGAACTTGGAGAGGAACATCGCGAGAAAAGTTGTACTCGGAGCTTGGCTGGGAATCACTGAGTTGCCGAAGATGGAGCAGACGCCTCACTTTGCTTTACAAGATCATTAATAATTTAACTCCTGTTTATACTAAGGACCCAATCCCACCACTTCAACAGTCACACTGCTCTCTTCGCAACCAAGATGTCGTTGGGCAAATAAAGGCCAGAACAGAAAAATTTAAATCTAGTTTCAACCATCATTGCTTATCCGAATGGAATGAACTTGATCCTGAGATTAGACTTTTACTGTTTTCAAAAAAAGCACCGTCTGTTACTGTTTTCAAAAGAAGCTCCTATCTATAATCAGACCCCCGGCAAGATCTATATTTGGCATTCATGACCCGATAGGTTAATCATATCTCACTCAACTCAGGGTTGGTCCCAGTAAATTGAATTTTCACAAATTCAAGAACAACTTTAAGGATACCATAAATCCGATGTGCCCTACGAACGATGGTATTGAGGATATGGAACACTTTTTGTTGCTTTGCCCTTCCCTTGCAGTACCCCGTAGAGACCTTCTCACTGGAGTTTCTGCTTTAATACGACCATATGGACATACCGACCTCCAAAATAGTCTTCTAATGCAGATTTTATTGTATGGTGACAAAAATTTCCCAGATGAAGTTAATAAAGATATACTCCTGCTGACGCTTAAATTCATCCACAAATCTGGTCGAATTGTTTTAATTGATAAGAAAATTTCAAACTCTGTTATCAGTCATAAAATCACAGCCACCATCTCCCATGTCCTATGTTCCTTTTTTCCTTTTCTTTTATTTTTAGTCGCGTATTTTTAAAGTCAGAAAAAAAATATTATTATGTGCCTTAAAATTTAAGTTTTCCCCACTACTCTTTGACATTTAGCGTTGACACTGTAGAAAATTTCACAAACACACCTGAAATTCTACAGCTGATGTGCCTTTTTAGAATGACGCAGTTAGAACGATAGCTGTAGATAAACTTTGCAAAACATTGATCACACTATGATATCCTGAGTCAGATTCAAATACATTTTGAATAGACTTCATAATTTTGAAAAGACAAACAGCACACGATGAGGAATTTTTGTCTGTTTTAATTTCAAAGAGCTGTGTTTTTTGTTGACAAAAAAACATCGAGACAAAGGGGAACCAGTATAATTTACAGAGCTATTTTGATGCCAGTGAACAATCTTTGTTTCAATGCACAAGTGGCCAGTTCAATATTCTAATTTCTGGCATTTCCTAGAAATGCAATGTAAATGTTAATCGCATAAGTAAAACTTTTTACATGCTTTCAGCGGTCAACAGCTGATAGCTATAAAGAAGCTAATTAAGGCCAACTATCTATAAATAGTTAGTATTAAATAAAAATATATGATACAATATTAAAAAGGTTTATGCAACGACTGATATGGTATATGACTAAAATGATTATGCAGCGTTACAATATTAAAAATGTTTATGGTATAATGCTCTAAATAAAACCTAACCCAGCAATAAATTCCATATCTTGCTTTGTTTGGATACAATATATGGTTTACCATATCTTGCTTTGTTTGGATACAATATGCTAAAAATGGAAAAGCAAATGGCAATATATTTGTCTGCCTTCCTTTATTTTGATTATTTCTTTTTCAATAACAGTGGAATCCCGCTATTGCAAACCCCACTTACTATTAACTTTAGCTATTAATAACCTAACGAAGTATGAAAAACAATCCTTTTAAATACAACGGACACTTGTATTACGAAAATTATTTGATCACTACAGAATTCATGATCGGTAGATTTCATTGTACATGCAATTTAGTTTCGATCCCTCCCTTTCAGAATTAATCCTCCTTGAGGTTTTTTGGTCAAATAATAGTACAGTACCTAAATTTGTAGACAACATTGTAGTAGTTTTCATGACTAATGACTGTCTCGTTTAGCGAGCCTCGATTGGCTGACACACCCCCTGTTACAACCACGTGATGATTTGTTTTCAATCAAAACTTAATTTGCATTTCGTTGCATCGTGGTGGTTTGAGGATCTTGCGAAAAACAAGAAAATGGACACTGCATCTAACCCCAAGAAAAGAAAGATAGAAGAAAATGACGTTAAAGAGAATGGAAACATTTATCAGGTCAGATATCTTTTTCATAGGTAAATTGTCTTGAAAACAGGTTGACTTGTATGTGCGAAAAGGCTCCACGTTGCTGAAGAAACGGCTAGGCCAAATATCTTCATTTTGAAAAGATTAAATGCCCAATGAAGGATTTAGTTGAATTCGCAGTCAATACCCAATTCGTCAAGTGATCTTACAACTACAATCACCAAAATAACTGTTCAAGATCATAAATAAATTTTACAGTTCAAATACCCTTACATAAAGCACTCGCCTAGTCGCATAAATTTCGTTACCCTTACTGTTCATTTCTTTGCATTACCTGCGGCAGTCTTGGTCAACCACGTACGTTTTTCGTTGTATTGTAATTGTTATCTTGAGGGGATTTTAGCGTATCGGCCAGCTTTTCCTGCACGCGTTTATAAGTGATGAATTTTAAATCCGTGGATAAATACATTTGGTCGAGCATTTATTAATGGGGGTCGGTTTAAAGAGTTCCTGCAGAAATGAGCATATTCTGAAAGCATTCACGCTTCTTTGTCATTTCTGTAAAACTGCCTCCCACAGGTGTTGTTAGAAATAGCTCCTATGCATATACAGTTGGGGATGTTAAATATTGGAGTGCAAGGGTGCCACACTGCACAAAAATGGAATAAAGCTATTAGCATATGACAGGGGGTCTGAAGGGGCCGCAGCCTCCTAACGTTGAATAAGTTGTTGTGACTGGCAGCAAATCTGGCAAAAACACTAGACACTCTTTTCTTTTTATAAGAACAATTTTACATCAACACAAGCCTCACACTTGGACAAAAGTTAAGAACAAATTAAGAACAATCTGAAGCTGAGCTTCTGCAAAATGCAATTTTGAACAACGTTTTGTCTCAAAATAAGGATCTGCCATTTGTTGGTGCTTTTTGGTGAATATTCAAAATTGTTTGCAAATGAGGCCTGAGCACATACTGTTCACACTGTTTACACCCTATTAATCTAAGAACAAATTAAAACAATCCAGCCTCAGGTTTTCAAAAAAATTAAAAACAGTCTTCCTGAAATTAAATTTATTGGTTCGTTTAAAAAAGTGTACTCCACAAAAAGTTTGGGGACACAACAGGCCAATACCTCTGATAATATTTTATTTGCACAAGACTTGTAGGTAGAGTTCTCCCAACAGTACAAGCATTTGTAAAACCTCATTCTCATTGATTTTTGGTTACTTTTGAAATTTTAATTGTCTCCACAGCAGTCTAAATTGTTAATAGCATTCCTGATGTTTTCAATTTTTGCTCTTTTCCAGATAATCAACTTCCACTTCAGTGGCTAATTTTTAGCATGAAATGGATATTAATTAGGAATTATCCACCAAGGAAATAATTAAAGGGCTGAATTGAATACTTATGACTGTAAAAGGCTTGATTTCCTTTAATCACCTTGATCATTTATTAAAGTAGCCCTCATAATGGCAGTGGCTTAAAGTTTAAATTTCTTTAAATATGATGTAACCAATCTCATGTAACCAAATATATAACAAGGTTGCAGCCTTTGACCACGTGCTGCAGCCTTGAAAAACATTCAACACCATACGCCAGCAGGTAGAGATAGCTACGGGTTTGAACAAGACAACAATATGAACAAAAAACAGGTGGTCAACATTGTGCTTTCACAACACTGTGCTTTAGCTCATTATGTAGCTAAAGTTATAACCCTGAGAAAAATAACTATGAAAATTATTAATTATAACCCAAACACCCAAGTATGATATGATCTGGCAATTGGTCAACATTTGTTCACAAATCCAGAGTGTGCCGAAACTTATAGTGATGACAATTTCAAAATCATTTGGCAAACATACACAAAATACCAGACACGCTTCCAGTATTTACCCTTTCTAAGCCTCTTTGTCTAACATGCAAACTCAATCCCACAACTAGTCCTCCCTCACTAGATCATGTTAACTTCTGAATGCTATTTCCCCTTCCTGCTTCCAGACTCCTACAGCTTGTTTTCATTCAAAACAAAAGTAAACAAACTTGATTTTTCCTCTCTCACTTCCTAATCCTTTCTCCCTTTCTCTTGTTAGGGTCTAGCTATAGGCTCTAAGAGTTTACATCTTGAGCCTGTCTCTAAGAGTTTACATCAAAACAAACAATACCAGCTTGTGTAGAGAAATAGAGTTTGTTATCTCTCTTGTACTCTTCAACTAAGTGAGAGGTTAGCAGTCACTTATTTGTAAAAACAAGACAACTAATTAAAGACATCTTTCTTCTTCTTACTTTGCTTTTGATCCACACCTTGATATTTGAGTTTTCAGCTTACTTTCAGTCATCATCTGAGGTTTCTACTCTGAAGAGTGTCAGACCAAAAGTGCTTTAGTATGCTATGTCTTTCCATCTTCAAATTTTGCAGTACCAAAAGCTTATTTATAATGTAGCTATTCTGCAGCTTTTATGCTCTTCTAAGTCTGTACCTTCAAAAACACTGTAGAGGTGGTTCTTGGGGCCCATCTCTACTATTAGCCCCTTAGTTTTATCTATGAGCATGACAAAAAACCAAAACTCAGATTTTGATTATCTGAGGATAGGGTAGTTGGAAGTTCATGATACCTGATGATGAAGTTTCTGATGTGTTGGTATCAAAGCTTTCCTCATGATTTACATAAATTTACAAAGTGAAAGAGGGTTGCCAGTTTTCTCTAATTTTTGCCAAACTTTTGTACATTAACTTTTGTACCTGTACGTTAATTTTTTTAACATTTTGCCATAACCCAACCCTTGAAAAATGCCCAGATTCTAGGGCTGGACACCCCTTGACCCCTTCATTAAACAAATGATAAAGGTATGCATACCGGTGTCTTGTATTTCCAATTTCTATTAGTCAGATATCTGTATCAAGCTCTAGAATGTTGGTATTACTTTAGCACCAATAAAATATTCTTGATGAATACATGATATCAATTTGAAAGTTGCATTAAAAACATCACACATCTTGTTTTTGCATTGATAATTTCCAAATTTCTCAACCATACATCATCATGTAATCATAACCTCAACCCATATTTCCATCATACATCTTGCTTTGGATCCTCTATGTGCAATAACAGCTTTATAGATTATGTCTTGATAAATTCAACGTACCATCTTAGTTCGACAGTATAGACAGATCTCGTGGATTTGCCCAGGGTCTGGAGATCTGGTTTCATTTTCCCAAGTGAGCTTTAGGTGGCTTTGGGGCTTATGTTTTATATATAAACATTTTTATTATGTTTAGATAGTTTCATTGCTAGAGATTCTTCAAAAATGGTAGCTGTGTACAAAGATCTTAAGATAAAAAACTTTAGAGCTAGCTATTTCAATTTTCCAAATAACTGGTGCTAAAGTGGAACGTTTAGTAGCAACATCCCAGATGCAATTCTTCTTGATAAAGTAGCTTTGTAAAATAAAAGTTGCTGGTAAATTTGAGTTCATCACTTAATTGCAATTTCAGCTAAGCAAGGGACAAAGGTAGCGGAATTGTAAAAATTAAATTTTCCAGGGTGCACTGACTGAGAGGCAGGGGGTGGTACAACCACCCTAAAGCCCAAAAAGTTTTGGAAGTTTCAGAAAATCTGTTCCTTTGTTTTCTTAAAAATGCTATCGTTAGCCCCCAAAATCTAAATTCCACTGTCTTCATGGTAGATGTGCATGTACTATTAGTTATATAATTGTTTTGCTATATGCTTCCTTGAATAATATATTGTTTAGGGTGTAAATCGCAATTATGTTCACATTGGTCACTATTTCTTGTCACAGAGTAATAAGAAGTTTGACGATGACATTATCCTACCAACATCGCTCTCTTTCACCACGTCTTTGGAAAATCTTCAGTCACCCCTGAAAGTCATTAAGGTAAGCTTTATCCGCTACTTTTTCACTGTCCGTAGCCATCAAAGTTGTATATCGTAATCAGAACAGAATTGATTTGAATGTGTTCATGCCTATGGAATGTAGGAAAGATTCTTATAACTCCAAGTTTGTGCCTTTGTCAAATCATCCTGTATGTGATGAGGGCCATCGTTAGCTGTTGTACTCAAGAACGTTTCCAGGCCCTTTGCCAACAAAGTTGGTTAACCGTATTTTATATGCCGAGAGGTTTGAAAATTTGTGAATTATGCCCCCCTAGATTGCTAAAGATTTCTCGTTTTGAAACAGATTTTCTTTTTAATGTCGATGCCACACTCCTAATGCCCCTCCCCTCCAATAACGATGGCCCAGTATGTGATTGATGTTAAGGTATAACTAACCTAGTGTCAATTTAATATACACTCAGCCATAGTTTCAGTTGCGTCCAGTTTCATTAATAAGATGGAAATTCTAATATATCTACAATACCTTCCAAGATTGCTTCTAACGCTTAGAAATCCACGTTGTAATTGTTTAAATTAAATCTTTCCTTTTCCAAATATCACTATTTCAAACCTCTTCCCCCAGAGCAACTTTGAGAGTTCAGGAAAATTTCACTTGACTCATAGGAAAAAGCCTCTTTCCCAAAGTCCCACAGTGTTTTAAAACAAAAAAAATGTTTGAAAAGGGGAGAAAGAGTGGCCGAATTCGCCCTTGCGTTAGAGTTCAAGAGTTTTTGCAAGGGTTGTAAGGGGAAGCATGCTGTAAAAATAACAAGGGTGCTAGCAAAATGTTGCAAAACAAACAATAGCAAAAATAGAAATTGACTACTTTTGGCATTAGCAAGGCGGCTCAGTCCCCCCAGCACTAAACCCCTGACTATAAGGAGGGGGCAGATTTCCGTAATGATTTGAATCTGTTCACCGACAGTCTGTACATAAAAGCTTTTACAAATTGACAGTACTTTTATATATGAGATTAGGCGCAAATTTCTGACAGGGCACTTACCTCCCTCTATCAGGCCTCCGACTCAATATATCTCTCTCACAGGAGAATGGCGGAACCGTTTTGCGAGTGGAGTCACGACCATCCAAACATGATGCAGCAAAGCAAGATTTTCTGGTCAACCTTGACGAGAATGACAACCTTGGAGATATTTGTGAAAAGATTATGAGTAAGCTTAAACCAGTTGTGGCGAATGTTCAAAAGCACGGAGGAGATCCAGGTAGTTTAATGGTATTATCATATTGGGGGCCTATTTAGGGACGCCTGCACAAAGTTAGGGCAGCAGGGGCAATGTTGATTCCGAGGGCAAATCGTATAATTTTTCTATTAACATAATCGAGTATTCCTTGGTTGGAGGGGGCGAGATTTGGGAAACATAATAAAATATTAATTTGAATACAGTGCCACCCATACAGCTGAGTTTTTTACCATCAAAGATTCTAAACATAGAGAAAATGTTGACAAAATTATCCATACATAAAAATGGGTATTAAATGGCCTTGCAACTATTCACAATATTTGGTTTTATAAAAAATCGTGGCTGTTATAAATTGACTGGTTGTGAAATTTTGATTGCCCGCTAAGTTTTTATAACGATTTATCCTCTTTAGGTTCCTCTAGTACTTCTGAGGAACACGTCGTTTGTTTATCATCTCTGATCTTTGCCGCTCTCTCTATCTCTTGTGGTTAACCTTGTCACAGACAAATTTTTCATCCTTTGCGTTTTTGGGGCTGGTGTTAACATCTTTTTAATATTTTTTAATAGATATGAACATAACGAGAGTGGTCAAAGTGGTCATTGAGTATTGATAAGATTCTATAGTATTTTCTTATATTTCAGGGCACTACTAGCTCCCTCTGCCCCTTTTCGAAGAGGGCAGGAGGGGCAGCTGCCCCTCTAGCCCCCCTGTGTAGGCGCCCCTGGGCCTATTAAGGGGGCTAAAAGCCGATACCATCACAGCTAAAAACGAGGAGGGAGAAGATTCTCTCCTAAACTTGATTTTTCGAAGCTGTAGCCTACCTAGAATCTTCATAGCACTTAAGTTTCCATCGAAAGACGCAAGTATCGTAAATTAAGGTGGCCACAATCAGTCGAAAGAAATCTATAAGGGATGCTTTTAGAATGACTCTGTATAGGTTCCGAACCGCTCTCCTGCCAAAATGACATGCAGCGAATCATGTATAGAAAAATTTCTATGTTTGCAGTTAATGCTATTAGTTTGTAGGAGTTTTAACGCATAATCGTAACTATAAAGAATATTGTAGAATTATCAAGAAAATTAAAGGAATATTACTAAGGGGATTATTGTTTTTTCGTTTAGTGCCATGGTTCCCAAGAACAATTGGCGATCTAGACCGGTTTGCAGACAGAGTGCTGAGCTATGGAGCAGAACTCGACTCAGATCACCCTGTAAGCTTGAACTCTGTTAAAATAGTCACTATACAAGTTAAAAACATGACCCATTCAACTTAAGAAGTCCTGTAAAGGACAGACGAGGGACATTAATATTTCTCATTTTTTGTTATATGTTTTCCCCTTCTCTTTCCTTTCATCTTCCGTCAAATATAACAGTATAGCATTTTTAACCATCATACCATCTTTATTTATTTCATTCAATTTGTACGTATTTTTCCTGCTTACGATATGTTTTTTCAATGAACCTAAAGTCCTCGAATAAGCCCCCCCCCCCCCGAAGAAGCCACTCGGGGGCTTATTAGAGCACTTGTAGTTGGTTTCTTCGTGTGTCTATTCGATTCCAATTCCACCAAGCAAAACCAGGTTTGAAGTCCAAGCAAAATGCTTTAAGGAAACTCGACGATTTTCATGTCTCTCTTTCTGTACTTTACGTGTCTGCTATGCTGACAGGTTGCTTTTGTTATTTTTAATAGGGCTTCACAGACAAAGTATATCGAGAAAGGAGAAAGGAATTTGCTGATATTGCCATCAATTACAAGCAGTAAATACTTTTATTTCTTTGACTGAAAATTTTTGTCAGCCAGTATTAATCAGATTTAAAGTTAGAAAAATATGCAATACTGGGGTTACGGTTATCAAAGCACTATGTTGCTATGATATTACAATATACTTCGTGAACATCATTACAAGAGAATTTCTATAAGGACAGAAAACAAGACTGTAGGTATGTACTCACAGAGCATGCTCGGTACCCCTTTGTGTAAAAAGGCTTTGATTTTTTAAGGAAAGAAAGTGAAGACAAGAATCTCTAAGAATTAAGAGGCTTGATGTTAAAGTATCTCTTATGAAATCTGCTTTCTTTAATCAAATCGTTCGCATTATGTTTCTTCATTCTTTGCCAAGGAATTCAAATGATTTTCTTCATGGATGTTCGGGGCAAATGGGGGATTAAAAAGGGTCAAATTAATCGAGCATTTCTAATGATAGAATCACCCTTTGATTTGACTTGGCTTTTGATCAGGTTTTAAAGGGCTATATTATTTTGTTTGTTATATTAAAGTAGCTCTTGTATTTTGTTATCTCTTTCAGTTACCAAGAAATCCCTACCGTTCAATATACTGAAGAGGAAGTCAAGACTTGGTACGTTTGAAATTTATTTGACAGTCATAAAAGCCTGAATTTGTCAGTCATAATATTCCAAACTCGTACCCAAGCTTCCGTGTACTTTGGCTTACTAATTTACGTTTATTTATCGTTATTCATTCTCTTCGCATTGCGGTGTTTCTTATTTGCTACAACTTTAGCTTATGTTTGTAAAACGATCCAAGGCTGTAAACTTTTGTCGATCTTTATTAACTACTATATATTGCTTAGCCATTAACACCCCCTAACTAATGCCACCTAATTGACACCCACGAGCAATTGAAGTTCCCGATACTTCCAGGGACATAAAAAAATAGATATATTAACATCCATAGAGGGAGTAGTTAAAAAGTGGCCTGATGATTGCATTAAGGGTAAAACTCAGGATCGCAACTTAAAATCGTCCTGTTTTAAACAGCAAGAGCGTGTACAGCTTTGCATATACGGTATTGACTATTTTATGACAGATCAGTAAACAGTTATTTTCATTAGCTCAGCAGTTATTTGTAAAAGAATTTGTACAAAAGTGTGTACTTCTTTTTTGAAGGGGGACAATTTTCAAGAAATTGACTACGTTATTTCCATCCCATGCTTGCAAAGAATTGAATTCTGTTTTTCCAGAGCTTGTGAGTGACTGTGATTACAGGTATTAAATTCTAAATGTTCTCATATTCATTCAGTTCAACAAATTTATGTTGCGATAGCCATTTTAATATTATATGAGTATGATACTTTTGTAAACATTCTTACTGTTATAAGCAAGGTGGTGTGCTATGGAGCAAAACTGGCCTGCCGTCACCGTTTTCTGTTAGGGAAAGCGTAATAAGCCAGTGGTTACTACAATCATGTTTCAATGGAAAATTGTTTATGTTACTTCATGTAAATTTTACAAGGGCAGCAGTGGCAAGACTTTTTGGAGGAGGGATAGATAAAAGAGTAATTTTCGAAAATATTCCGCTGGAAAAAGTTTAAAAAATCAAGAAAGTGCAACGACTTCCAACAAGATTTTTAATGCATTTTCTGACAGCCCCTCTCTTGTTCCTTGCCCCGATCTAAAAGTAATTTCACATGCTCTTTGGGTAACTGAATACAAGCAATAAACAAAGTAATTGGCAACAACCTTAAATTAGACAAATTAATCACCTTTGTGCATTTTTGAAAAAAATCTACTGTAAACTTATTAAGTTCTTGAAATTCAAAAATCTAGGAGACGATAAACTACTGGTATGTCTTACCTTTAGCTGAAAATCCATCTTGGTGACTATTGCAGAAATATCTTATTGTTATGTTTTTTTTGGGTGACAGCAGAGATGGTTTAACTTAGCGCATGCGCAAAAGTGAATTTGCTCTGTTGCACGGTCAGAGTTAAACAAGTGCAATCCTGCATTCCAACTTGAAGAATAAAGACAAAAATGAATGCTTGCGAAGTGGCAATTTTTTTCCTGAAAAAACGTTAGAAAATTTGTTCTTGATACGCTACTTGATTATCTCCCCCTTCCAGGATGCAGCTAGCCTCTTTCAACAGCTATCTTATAATTGGACTTGTTTTTTGCAGGGAAGACACCATTCCTCAACTGAGCAAAGTCTCAAATTTTTTGAAAAGTAAGAATCGTCGTTTTGTTTCGATTCATAAACATGATAACCAATTTTTGAAAGGAATTTTACATTAGGTCAAACATATACATTAATTTGTAATTTCCAACATTACAATGTGGCGAGGGGGGCTGGGGGTGGGGTTCTGATGAAGTTTATTTGGTCTTGCAGAGAATGACATTTATTTGGGGCTTACCTATAAAGGTTCTTATTCTAGGAATTATATTTCTATATATCAATCAATGTTATGCTTATAGTGTAAGGGTTTTCCTAAAAAGCTTTCAGATATATCGTTTTTTTATCTTTAATATGGTGCACTGATTTTGCTTTTAATTATATGGAAACTCTTGATATTTTGTATCTCAATTTGTTATCAAATATGGATAATTACATTGTAATATACGATATTTTTACAGAATCACAAAACCAAATTGTCTATTTATTTTTTGCAGGAAAAACAGGTTTTACACTAAGACCTGTTGCTGGTCTTTTATCATCAAGGGATTTTTTGGCTGGTCTGGCTTTTCGTGTCTTTCATTCCACACAATACATCAGGCACTCCTCTGTCCCGATGTACACCCCTGAGCCGTGAGTACCGTATAACTTTTCTTATTGGAACATCTTTTGAGTATTAACTCTAAAAATTCTTCATTTCGATTATTAACGCAATGATATCCTGAGTTTCACCTGAACAGGCTTGTACGAGTTGCCTATCCTCTCTGTTTGAATGTGCTTAGTATCTCCCGCCTACGATGTAAAGAAGGAACATGGATAACAGAGGCTGTTCGATGCCTTAGCTGAATGCTCAAAGATATCCTTTTTTATTAACAGAAAAAATTTTACCCAATCAATCTAAATCTGATGTAAACTTGCATTCGGATACAAGGGTGTTTTTACGCGTTCCCTTGGACCTCCATTTCTCTGTACCGTATCCTTGAACCTATTCCCAGCTCTCTCTGACTGTACATACATAATGGATGCCCCCAAGATGTTCCATTTATTCTAATACCAAATTTGTATATCACTAGAGGCACACTGGCTGGAGAGGGGCCAAGGGGCAAGTGGAGACACCCTATCCCTAAAGTACATAATTGCCGGAAACATTGTTGAAAAAGTCTACGTTAAGCCTCCAGCCTAGAATATCACATGCCAAGATAATGCTCTTTTTAATAGCCTTCATTTCCTTCACAGCCCGTTTTGATATTTGCCTTACATGATATCAATGAGAAATAAATTCCATAGGAGTAGAAATTATGGATAGATATTTGTTAAAGAGAAGTTTCATTGGTAAAGTATTTGACAAACTTATAAAAAGGTATTTTTCAATCATTCTGAGATGTAAATTAACCTTTCAAATAAATTCATCACCAAACCATTTTTTTGTAGTGATGTATGTCACGAACTCATCGGTCATGTCCCACTGTTTGCTGATCCAGAATTTGCACGATTTTCCCAGGTGAGCCTTTCAATAAAATTTTCTCCAAGTGTTTAATAAAGTATGACTTTGCAGGTCATTTTTGCTGCCTAGAGCTTGATCAATCAAAAGAGAAAAATTTGTTTGAAACATTTTATTGAAATTTCAGATAACACTATATTGAACATAATCGATTTTTATTTTAAACTTTCAATCTGGTTAAAATTTCTCATTTACATTTCAACAGAAATGAAAATTCGAAGTATTAAAAAAGTTCGAAGTTATAGCTTTACTTTTTTATTAACCTTCTGCCGACGTTACTCTGATGTTTGAAAGGGCTTAAAAGAAGAGCTTATTGGGTGATGGTGGGCCGAGGGGGGTTCTTTAAAATAGCCATAGGAATTATTGCTAACGACACTTCAACTAATTTATTTTAGTTTATTGAACGTACTTTGAAAAAATAGTATTCTTAAGCAGCGCTGTAATATATTTGTCTTCACTGATGTTCTTTTAACCATATCTCTTTTATAGCCTTTCTAATGTAATGTTTATTCTGTTTAGGAAATCGGCTTGCTGTCACTTGGAATATCGGACGAGTGGGTCACGAAACTTGCAACGGTATTCTTCAATTCAAGTCTTATTATATGTAAAAAATAGCGCTTTGTTCTGTTACCGGTGACGTAATATCACGTGATCAGGGAGTTAGGGAGAGAGAGTTGGAGAGTTGCACGCGTTTGATGAGAAGAAATTATAGTTAAGCTTCAGCCATCGTTTTAAAACCGTTTTAGTTAATATAGTTTGGAAACGGGTTCTGCAACGTGGGCAGATCATTCAGATTGTGTTCGAGATTGTGGCCTCTTAAGTCGTCTAATATAGCACGAACGTCTTGAGCATAATAATTGGCGAGTCAAAGAGTAAGTTAGGCCACCATTTTCCACACATTATTTTTTAAATCAAGCGAAGTTAAGTATCTATCCGTTTCAACCAGTTGATAAAACAATTTGATTCCTGCTAAATATTTTTTCAGGAGTCTTCAAACTACTTTAGCTGACAGTCCTTAAGTACGAATAATAATTTACGGTACATATTACTTGGCAAATTGCAAATGTCGAATCATTCATGAACAACATTACCTCTTTGATTTAGGCCCCATTCGAGCTGCGTATAGGTCGAATCTTTTATGACGTATATTATTTGTAAATGTCGTAGCTTTACTGGTTCACTGTGGAATTTGGTCTGTGCAGACAACAGGGTGAGATGAAAGCTTACGGAGCTGGACTCCTTTCATCATTTGGAGAATTACAGGTATTCCTATGTCTGACAAGTTTCTCCTATTTTACTCAGAGGAAATGCCGAGGGAAAAATGAAAAATTGTATCGAACAAAAGTAATGTACTGAGCCATAGTATCGAACAGAACATTGACATTAAGTATTGCGTGTTTAGATTATATGAGTATAGAGTACAGAAGTAATGACGTCACAAAAATATGTTTTTAGAATTTTTGAATTTCTATCCAATAGACTGAAAGAGCATCACGAAATACCTCTTAACACGCAAAATCAGTTGATTTTGTCACGAATTGGCTGAGATATGGTCACATGAACACAGCCCCATCAAACCTCTGTAATTTGGTCTTGGTTCATAACTTTATGGACCAGGCCAGAATAACAGTAATCCGTTAGCAAACTTTAAAACTTTCATTGGCCATATCCCGCCAAATTTTAAATATATCTAGCTGATAATGCACATTGAGAGGTATTTTATGCCGTTCATTCACATTATTCGGTCAAAATTGAGAATTTCTAAAAATAAATTTTTGATGACGTCACAGTTCGGTCCTCTATTTCGAGGACAGTTGGTTTTATTATGAATGGATAGAAAGAATATCCACATGGCTTTATTGTGTGGTTCCGCTCCTCTTTAGTATTACTATAAGAAGTTGTCGTCTAGAGAAATGATTGCAGTGGTGAAATCTCCTTTTTTCAATATTATAAGTAAGTAAATTCTTTTGCTAGATATTTTAAACTTCTTTTGCAGTATTGCATTGAGAGTAGTGAATGCGAGAGACGGGCCTTTGATCCAGAGAAAGCTTGTGTTCAGGAGTACCCCATTACCAAATTTCAACCCGTGTATTTTGTGGCAAACAGCTTTGATGATGCCAAAGAGAAATTGAGGTAATGCTTTATTTTCAGATATTCAGGAAGCAACTTTACTGCCTAAGAGAGTAACCAACTTCTAAGGCTTTGCATTTCGGTGTTTATTAGTTGACCAATTGTGCTTGGTTAGTTACTAAAGTTTATCCACGTATTTTTGGTTATAATATTTTTGCTGCCAGAGTGAAACAATGGGTCTAAAGACCCATACATATTTTGCCGTGAAGGATGTCAAATTGATTTTGCGCAATGATAGCTATTCAAAGTTAGAATTTTGAGTGAAGAAACAAAGATATGGGATCTGCAAGAAATTCCATGCGGTTGTTGTTTCATGGTCATTGAAGTGGCCTAAAAACTAAGCCATTCCCCGTCCTTGATGTCAACATGAATGGGCATTGTAATCAATCATTATTCGATTTCTATAGAGTTCTAAAGTGATGACGTCATAAAAATAAATTTTTAGAATTTTTGAATTTAGATCCAATAGCCCGCAATAGCATCATGAAATACCTCTAAATGTGCAACATCCGTCTAATTTGTAACAAATTGGCTGAGATATGGCCATATGTGTATTGGCTCTTTCCCATCAAACCTCTGTATTTTGGTTTCGTTCATAACTTTATGAACAGAGCCAAAATAACACTAAATCCGTTAGAAAACTTAAAATTTTTCATTGGCCATATCTTAAACGATTTTAGACATTTTTAACTCATTTCGCATATTTGAAAGTGTTTCATGGTGATCTATAATGTTGTGTGGTTAAAATTCAGAAATTCTAAAAATTGGTTTTTGGTGACGTCGCATTTTAGAACTCTATTGTGATTGATTACAATGTGATTTATTATATTGGAATATCATTTATCAAATTGGAATCAAATGCTGATTGACAACAATGCGCATGCACGTTGATGTTAAAGATGGGAGAATGGCTTAGTTTTTAGACGACTTCAGTTCTTTTGTTTTCACGACAATGTCGTCCTCCGTCGATGTAGTGATGTAGCAGCTTCTATCTACCCAACAATATTTCTTCCAGATCTTGGGCTGCACACATACCAAGGCCATTCCATGTTCATTATAATCCATACACCCAGTCAGTGGAAATAATCGAAAACAAAGAGCAATTGGTTGATGTCATTGCTGATCTCAAATCACAAATTGGCAATCTTATGGATATCGCCAGTAGTATGAACTAAACCAGAAGCAACTTAATTCAAGGAAGTTTATAATGGCCATTTGTTTGGATTTTTTGGTTTTGTCGGTAGTGAGGTGTAATTAATGTCTGAAGTTTGTCTTTTAAAAACATGGGTAGAATATTTTGTAGTTTAGTATTGCAGTGAATTTTTTAATTTTTAGCACATCGATTGTACTTTTACTTCGAAGTTGATATTTCATTATCTTTATAGGTTCCCTCTTTTCTGATTATTCTAACTTGAAGAGGTTTCACCATTTTTTATCATATGCTTGCAATTTTTTTGTAAATGGAAAGAGTGTGACAGTATAACTTGAATGAGCGTGATATGGATTTGAGAAAAGGTTACTGAATGTAGATATTCCATTATCTTGATTAGAATGTAATACACCCTAAAAGTATTGAAATATTCCTTGCTCTTCAGTATTACTTTGCATCTATTTAGTTTGCATTATGTATTTCCCGTTAAATATATTTAAATTTTAAATTTCTCCTGAAAGGATATTTATAAGCAGCAATATTTTATTTCTGTCGTAAATATTTTTCTTGAATAAATAAATTTAGTTCTTTCTTGAATTTCAGTTCAATTGTAAGAAAATATGATAATCCAGGTCATTGAAAACCTAATTTGGTTAATGAAATGCTGAAAGTCTTTTTGGATCCATGTTTTATCTCTGGCATTCATTACTATTGTTTACGTTGACTGGTGCCTTTCACTTGCTGATTCGAAATATATAAAATGTGGATTGTATATATATATGGACAACTTATGTCATACTGGCAAATGCGTCCACTATACTTGCCAAAAGCTCATCGCTGTCGTCATTGCCAGCAAAATTTCTCACACAGCAATCTCTTGCGGATGAACAAAGCGCCATGACTAAAATACAGACCATGCTGTTTATGTATCTTTTAGCGGGATAGGAGAGAAATGCGTCGATGAATGTTACTTTAAGAAAAATCTTATTCGGTTCATTTTGTGTTTTGCAATAGTTCGTAATGTGTCGTCGTGGCATCTTTAAACAAACAACAGCAAAAGTTGCGTCATATTTTGTAACTCTGTCCCAGCCCTCCGTATCAAACCAAAAACACATTACAACAAGACATTCCCGCAGTTATCAAGCAGCCATAATGCAGAGATCTTTTAGACCACAAAGTCTTTGGAACATGAGCCTCCTGAAAGTTGTCGAGTCAATAGATTTGCACATCATTCAAATACCAATCCAGCCATTTGAAATTAAAGGCACAGTTTTCTACCTTATGTCGAAAAGAGGTCTTATAGAGGATGGTAATATCAGAATGGTGAGTGATCTTTCAATTATTATTGAATAAGTAGATTACCTTATAGTTAAAAATGTGTCTGAAAAAGGGATCATGAGGCTATTTTAACTACCCTACTTGACTATTTGATTGAAAAATCTTAATTGAAAAAGCTTTCTTCCTCAATGGTCAAAGACAAGAAGCCCAAAATCAGTTCTCCGTTTCTCAGGATTATCCCTAATTCCAGAACTTGAAATCTTTTCGTTTCTCTTCGTCTAAGCGTTTATCCGTTTCATTATTCTCTGAAAAATGTACAAAACACGATAAAACATGAAGTTGTTCATGAATAGAAGAAATCGTGCTTCCTGCAGGGTCCTGGGAACAAGTTTCCTAATCGCGCGAAATTTTTCTTCTACGGAAGAGAGGCTCAGACAAATAAACATGGCGAGTGTTTACGTTCCCAGCAAACTGCTCAACCTTTGCATTCGCAAGGTTGCAGAGAAAGTAGAAGATAATATTGACGAAATAGAATTACTCCCAGAAGAGGTAAAAGTTAAGTTACTTCATTTGGTGTCGAAAAGAGGGAGCCTGTCTGACGAAAACATAGGAAAGGTGAGTGGATTGTAAGTGTTTACATGAGATTTTGCAATTGTTCCTAAAATCGAAGTATCCATAGTTTCAGCAAAATCTGAAGGTAAGGCTGGTCTGTAAATGCGAATGACACAACATCAATTCAAAAACATATGCGAACTGTTGAAATATATAACGAAAATAACAGCGACGCTGTCAACTGCATCCCGGTTAAGCCGCCCAGTTGCCGCCGCCAGTTCTTTTCAAATCAATTCATATGATTTGAAATCTCATGAATAAAGTGGTTGAATATGCTGAAACTAGGCTCTAAAACAATATCTACTACAAATATGATATTTATGATAATATACGAATACTATAAGAAAAACCGATTATTACTAAAACTTTGTCAGTAATTCTTTAATCTTATTTCAACGGCCAACAATAGTTCTTTGGAGTGATTTGTTTGTTTGTTTGTTTGTAATCTTATTTTGAATCGAATATATATGATTTTAAGCTACAATACTGTAACTTGTCTAATTCGATTATTTACAAAATATACATATTAAATCAACAATTTTTAATAGTTTTTAAATACAAATTTACAATAGAATCATTAAGTGTAGCATACGTTGCATTTACAGGTTGCCCAGTCCCAGTTTTTAATTAATCTTTTGGATCAGATAGTGGTAGGCAAGCGAGCAAAAAATATTAGTCATATGACTAACATTTTGTTTACAATAAAGATGGATGATTCCATATCAAATTCTCAAGTTCATGTAACCAGCCATCTCATATTTTGCCAGTTTTTCAAGCAAGGTTGTTGCATGATGACACACTACAGGTAATCACAGGGGAGAAGGTATATTGTGGGAGGTGGTAGATAGTGTAGAGATAACTTTTTATACAAGGACGTTTTTGCCGAAATGCACTTGTCAAGATTTATTTTCATTATTAAGAAAGTAATATTATGGGTAAATCACCCAACAGAGTTGCAATGCCATCCTAAAATTAAGTTAATCTTATCAAAGATGATTAACTTAAGTTATGAAATATGCATAGTTTCTGTGAAATTCTTATCCGTAGATTCTGCATGGAAATGTCATTGAAATAGATTTATCACATTCAGAAGTTACTGATGCTGGGCTTAAAGAAGTATGTAAATGCAAGAAGTTAAAGAAATTGGATTTGAATGCTCTGAAAGGAAACAGACAAAGTATTTCATCAGAAGGTGACTAAGGATTTTCTTTTGATTTATCATGAGAAGCATTACTATAACTATATTCCTATAACTTCTAAATAGGTGGTAAAAATTACAGAGAGAGTTTTATCATTCTCATTTATGGTTTGGTCCCCGCTGCAATTACAAATGCAACACTATTCTTTAAAACTCTCTCTATTTAAAATTCTTCAAAACTCTCTCTAAAAATGTGTTTAAAAACACGCTTTTTTCAAGAAAAAATAAGAAAAGTTTTTTCAAATGTATTTCAAAAGATTTTTTTGGCAAACATGTTAGAAACTTCATGCTGATCAATAGATATGAAATCTAATTTGCATCTGAGCATAAACAGAGTAACTTTCTTATTATCAGCTATATTTTGATTTTCTGTTGATTTCTTGTTATGAACCTTAGAATTAGCATGCATGTTAAGTGCTTTTGCTTTTCCTTTTAACCTGAAAATAATTCTCCTAAACAAACAAAGCCATTATGTGCAAGAGGAAAGAGACATAAACTTTTTAATTTGAAGAAAGGACATGGTCTTAGTATTTTAGGATGTAGATTTTTGCTAGGATTAGAAATAAAGTGTATATAAGTTAATTAAAGTTGAAATATTAAAAAAGAATGTTTTTGTTTAAAATAGATAGATCAGGAATTGGTTATACATCATACTAGGATCAAAAAGCATTTGTCTTGGCCTGTTATATTTTAGCCTTAATTGTCTTCAAGATATTAGTATATTTTGAAATCAATCCATACTGCCAACATATATAAATAGATATTCATAGATATATATATAAGATATATATATATAGATATTCAGAAAAAACACTATTGCTTAAACGTTTTGACCAAGTCTTCATCAGTAAATCTATATTATTTTTATCATAATCGTTGCATGAGCTTTTGATAGTATTTATATATATATATATGTATATGTATATATACATTAGCAAATTAAATATACATTACCAATGGTCTAGTGTTTTCTACCACAATCTTTCCAAGAAAACGATGTTTTTTCTTTTTAAGAATAATCTCAGTTTTGAAATTGTATAGAATTTGAAGCACTAGATTGTATTGTACAAGCCACTGGTCAATAAGCTGCTTTGCCCCTCCAAATTTGACACTGTCCCCACAAGGGTTATTCAGTCTGAACAGTCATTCATTTTACATTTTTCTGTCTAAATTTTTTTTAAATATTATATTTTATTTTGGTGAATATTATATAATATTTTTAGGTATCAAAATGCTAGCCCAAAGCTGCAAACTGCTGGAAATTGCTTTTTTAAGGAGGTGTGAATTGATAAATGATTCTGCCATCTCAAGCTTAACATCCTGTTGTCCAAACCTAACCTAGCTAAACTTGGAAGGATGCAGTTTCATTACAGACAAATCTGCTGAAAATATAGCAAAATGTTGCCCAAAAATGCAGAGCCTTAATCTCTCAAGAACCAAGGTTAGTGTCTCATATGACCAATAAATTGGTTTGGTCTTGTAGCCCTATCCTTTGTTTTTATGATGTTTTCAAGCTAGCAGTGCCTTTTTGACATAACTGGCCATGAGGTTATAATCCCTGGATCCCAAGTGAATTTTTAAAGACAATATACCATTGTTCCCTTTTCCTAGAAACAAATTTTTTACACCTGGTATCAGAAGTCTCTTTAGTATGTAAGCTAGAAAAAATGCAAATTTGGTTTCTCCGGGGTTGCTGGCAGATATGAGGTAAAATTGTCAAAATGCATACATGCTGCTATATTGTTTCAGGGCATCAGAGTTATTAACTCTCAAACCAAATTTTTGAAAAAAGAATGATTCATAATTCTTCAATTGCTATCTTTGAAATTCATTTTTTACAGTTTTACGATAATGTTTTTGCTTCATGTACAGGTCTTTAAATCATAGAATATTGAAAACAAGGAATTTTAAATACAATAATGGATTCATTGTAGTTTTTTATTGAGTATTTAAGAGCAGAGTGCATCAAGGGGGTGTACTTGTTCTCATCTTGTTTTTCTAAGTATCAGTGTTCACTTGAAGTCTCTGAATTAATTGAACTCAATCTCTTACATGATGGCACTAGTTTATTTTACTCTCAAATATCAAAACACTGGAAAAAGATATCATTTTTGAACTAGCTAATATTGCTGATTATATGATTGGAACTGTAATGATTGGAATAAACTGGTGGTTTTGACACCTAGACAATAAAAGCAAAATACTGGTATTGTAAGAACAAATAAAATATGCTAGGAGAATAATATGTTTTAAGAGCCAAAGGAAGCATTCCAAAGCATTATTAAAATACTTCAACTTTCTTAATCTACATGACTGATACAAGTTAGAACGTTTCATTCTCCCTAATGCTAGAATCAGTTATAAAAAAATGGTCTCACAGTTGCCGGATGAAACATTATGAATGAAATCCCTTCATTCTTTCATACAAGTGGCAGTAAAAATTATTTACAAAGGAATTAAAGAAATTTCTATAGTCAAGTGAAAAAGACCTTGTTAACACTATATCTCATCCACTGGATCAGATGATTGTTAAGCAGAAATTTCTCATTTCTAGGTCTCAGACAAAGGTCTTGAATTCATCTCACTTGGTTGCTGCACAAGCTCATTAGTGGTGAGTATGAACTGTTTTTAATTATGGTGTATTGTAAGATACCAACAAATAAATTATTTTAGATAGCTTAATCATCCAAGCTTAATCATGTCATGTCATGTCATGTCATGTCATGTCATGTCATGTCATGTCATGTCATGTCATGTCATGTCATGTCATGTCATGTCATGTCATGTCATGTCATGTCATGTCATGTCATGTCATGTCTTGTCATGTCATGTCATGTCATGTCATGTCTTGTCATGTCGAGAATTGTTTGAAAAATAGATCAAGAATTGACTGCTTGGATGCTGCGAGTAATCTATGCAAGTATTTAACAACTTAGACTGGATATACCTATGAAGAAGATTCTGTAGCTGGAATCATTTTTGTAGGAGATACACGTTGGTTACTGCAAAGATGTTACTGATAATGGCATAGAGCTGATTGTTAATTCATGCCCAAATATTCGAATCCTGATTTTTCATGGATGCCCACTGACCACTGAAAGATCGAGAGAAATGATTGGACTGCTTGGGCGAGCAATGCGTCAATTAAGCTGGACAGTGTACTAGCATATACCACTATCGGGTAAGTTTTGTTCACATTAACGTTTTTAATGTCAATGTTTATGTGTTTATGAGGCACTCAAATTGAAACTGCTGGAATGTTGAAATTCAGAGAAATGGAAGACCCAGTAGAAGCATCATGGTGAATGAGAAGAAAGTGAAGATGAGCTAGATATCTTTTTTTCTAATGATAAAGGAGAAGCAGAAACTGAAGATCGATATTTAGTAATACTCAGACAATATCAAGATACTTTTCTGCTATTTTTGAAATCCATCATGTAAAACGAGATTTTTCTAGTGTTTAAAAATTTCGGTAAGAAAAAATTTCGGTTTAAAAAGGATTGGTGGGACTAATTTTTGGTTGCCCTGATTCACTGAAAAAAACCCTACCGAATTTTTTGGTACTTAATGTACGTCACAAGGAGATACCACTGAGACATGCAACCCTGTGGCCCTTAAACAACAGGCCCGTCATCAAGAACAAACCAATTTGAATACTGAGAACAATACAGAGATGTAGGAATTTCAAAATTATGAAATTCTTGTGACTAAGGCGTTTGTGTGTATTAAGCGACCCACAATGGGATCTAGAATATCTAAATATTTAAAAACGTAGTAACTCGCATCCGATCAGACAAAAAGACACGAAATTTTCAATATTTACTTAATTCAGCATGGCGATTTTAAATCCGAGAAATTTTGAAGATTTTGCGATGGAAATCCATGACGTCAGTGTTTATGGTAAATATTTCACACTTTTTTGAAGTCAAACTACCACATATACACTCACCAGATATACGTTTTTGGTATCCAATGATACCCAACAAACTATCTACGCCCCTTGGAACTGTTTCATCACAAAGTCGTTCAGTGAGACATGTAACGAAAATCACAGTTTACCGGTCTGGCATAAGGTGTGATAACTGCTAACATCGAGCAGTTAGACATTTATCGGCACCGAGCAGTTAAGCATGTATATATGCAAATGTCACTGTAAAAATTTTTGCATTTGAGCTAATGTCTTGAACTATAAAAGCACAATATTCTGTTTCTCATCAGCATGTTTTCAGCCTTGTTGGTAATAACAAGTTGAAACAATGCTGAGTTGAAATTTTGTACTCGGAGAAAATTTTCCAAGGAATGATGTTCACTTGTTCCCATTTTTTGTGTAATTTTAAAATGGGTGGCACAGCTGTATTGAACTGCATATTTGCTATTGCGGATTCTGTTATATGTGCAGAAAATCTTCTTGATTTTGAACCAGTTACCATAAAGGTTGAGATACCCCTTAAAATCTAATTACATACGGTACCACTTCTAGGTTCCATATTAAATAGCTAGACACAATAAAAAGACATTTTCTTCGTAAATAAACCATTATAATATATCAAATCGTAATGTTACATCATGGTAAAAAATATAATTTTTCATGTAAAGACGTCTTCATCAGTTTCAGAAAAATGTTTATTCATGAACAAGACACAAGTTTCTTCCACCATCGCCTGTTCTTCGCTTTATGAAGCCTCTGATTAAGTTGATGGATGACGTCATTCAGCTCGTTATTCTCATCACGCACCACACGTAGCTCTTCTTCCAGCAAAAACTTTGAATTCTTTTCCTTCTCTCCTTCTTCGTTTGACTCCTTAAGCTGTTGTATGAGCACTTGGTTTTCACTCTCAAGTTCATTGATTTTATCTCTCTGTTCCTCTTTCTTCGACTTCAATGAGGCGATGTCTGATTTCATTTCAAGACAATGATCCAGATGTTTTTGATACTCTACAATCATTGTCTTTAGCAATTTGTTTTTCTCTTCTTCAAGGGTTTTATTCTGGAAATTGAAATAACAGTGATGTGTAAATAATAAATTACTTTGAAACAGTTTTTCTCTAGAATTTACTGTATCAGAATCATCAGATTGCCTCTTATTGATTATGGCAAGTAGAAGGCGTGGGATACGTATTATGCGATTGTTCTGCTTGCCACACTATAAATCAACGAAGAAATAATCCACACGAATATTTGAAGAAGGGGTATGAAAATAGTTGCAATTTAACTGAATATTGTAGAGATGTATCTTATTGCCAAATGAAAGCAGATCGTATATCCAAAACTATAGCAATTATCATTTTCAATACTTGTATGTTTTGAATTTGCTACGTCAATGTATACGCTGGTTTTTAAGAAGACTTTTCCTTTCATAATTTTAGTGGTTTGCTTGAGACTATGCGTTTATTAGAAAAACAAAGGTGTTCATATCCAGTCAACTAGCTATAACTCAACTTACGTTCCCTTCCATGACCAATAACTTCGACTCTAAGTCCTCAGCTTGTGTCTTCCAACAGCTCATTTCAGAAGTCATTTCCAGCAAATTTGAGGATGCTTCTTTGTAGTTATCGCCTGCCTCTTTAAGGCTCTGCTGAGTCGCCCTGAGCTGTTGTTTGGTGCTTTTGATCTCATTCTCTAGAAGAACTGTCGCTTGCTGCAGCTTTTCAGCTCTGTGTTCTTTCTCGCATAGCTGTAGCATGATTAGTTTCTCTTGTTGCTCCGTCTCTAAAAGCTAAGAATTAGTTTGAAAATTAACAACTGCTAAATATTGTATTAAGGTTAAAACGAAATCAAGTCAAGGCAAATACGAGCGATGCATTGGAAACTCCAACCAAGCACTAAAATTTGCATCATGTCCTAGTGTTTTTTCCTGGAATATCTTGGTTTCTCATCATATCACAAATGTAACTTGCTTTAACCAACGCTTATCTTGAGTATTCTTTACTCAAATCTAACCCGAGAAATCTTTTTTCCCTTGTTTGATATTTGTGTATATGAAAGAAACAATTTTCTATTTTGGGGCATAAGAAATTAAGGTATTGCCTCAAAGCATTTCCACTTATTTGTTTTGCCCAATTCATACGTTGTAATGGAGTGTTATTAAGTGGCTTACCATCTTCGTTAGTGACAAACATCTATCCCCAGATTCTTCAGCTCTTGTTTTCCACTCAACCACTTCCTTGGACAATTCCTTCAATTTCGCCAAATTGTTAGAAACATCTTCCTCAAGAATGATTACTTTTTCCTTGATTTCTTCGGCTTCCGTTTGAAGAGCAGCTTTTTCCTCTTCAAGTGTGTCAACCTTTGCATTGCTTTCCGATAGTTTTTCATTGGCGGACAAAGCTTGCTGCTTCAATTCACAAATTTGTCCACTTTGTGCTGCTTCTTGTTCTTTGGTGATGCTCAGCTGTAAAAAATAAACCAATTAATTTTTTTCTATCAGCTGATTGTATAACTTGCAAACTCAGAATACAGCCTTCTTTATTCTATCATCAAGCATCAAACATCAGAGAAGTTCTAACAACTTGACATCAAGTTCTTCTTACCTCATTTTGTAGTTTCTCCACCATAATTTCATGATCCTCTTTCTGCTCTTGAACTAGCTCCTCCAAAGATTCAATTATCGCTTGACTACTCAGCGATTCCGCTATCTTTTCTTCTCTTAATTTTCGATTTTCTTCTTTCAATGATTTCATTTCATCATTAAGGACTATTTCACGCTCAAGATAGTCCCCAACTTTCAGCCTGAGAAGATCTTTTTCTTCATCACATTTGCTCTTAACAAGCTGTTGAAAAAAGTAAAGACCTTTGTATTCATATGACTATAGCATCGAATTAATAATCGCACTAAAGCTACTCTTTCTTGAATTTGAAAATATGAAATATAATGTGGATTATCCTTGAAAATAAAATGTAAACCATGAATGCATTGCGTAATGATAAATATAAATCAAAAGTGCATTCATTCGGTAGTTGACTTAACAATTAATTTATTTTTCAATTGTTACAATTATTCAGCTTTTATTTAGCTACCATGACTAGAATGTCGCTTCTACTTTGCTCAATTTTTTCTTAATTTGAACTCACCTTGAGGATGTTCGCAACACTCTCTCTTTTCAATGGAGTTTTGCTTCCATCTTCTTTGATGGATATCCCAAAGTATTCTTGAATCAGTATTGTAAGGATCTGGTTCTCGACCAATTTTTGTTTCGTAAGTGTGGATCTCTCACGCTCCATCATGAGATCTTTCTTCAGCAGAAATATCTAAGAATGAAATCAAATCAATACTTTAACTTTCTCAGCAAAATAATTTTTATCGATTCATAACTTTGATAAGACAGTTCTTTTCTATGAATGAAACTTCTCTAAAACTTTATAGCTTGCCTCAATTATCATGCCACTCGTTGTTAAAGTTCAATTTTTACATATTCTTTAATAGATATGATTATTTTCATGGTTTACTCTTTAATCATTATATAAACAATTGTTATTTATACTTAGAGAGTCATATGTGGATAATTTTTGATAAATACATGGGTTTTCTTTCTTTCTTTACTTTATTCTTTGCACCTTTCATTTGTGGCAGATAAAAATCACTAACCTTGAATGGATAGTCCTTGTCTGCTTCTTCTTTGATCTTTTCAAGCAATGCATGGTTGATGCAGCGAAGGTTTTCCTTGTCTTTCTCAACCGTGTTCAGCTTTCCGCCTAACGCCAGCATATCCAGTCTTATTTTGGACAGCTCTCCTTTCACCTCAACGTACCCATTTTTCGGTCTTCTTGGACTTGTGTTCGACATTGCTGATTCCTATGTAGACAGCAATAGAAAATCTCTTAGTATCACTCGGAAGTTAGCTCTGATCGTATGCTCAGAACGGCACTTTAAATCAAGTGTGAAGTTGTATTGGGGTTTTTCGCTTTTATTGCATTTTGATTTATTGTGACGTCACTTGATTAGTTGCCAATCAAATTTGACGTTATTATAAAAATTTGAAGGCCTACCTAGGCTCTGACTTCTAGGCAGGTAAATCTTATATTGCAAATTCCTGCTTTTTCCTCTTTTGAAATTTATGTATCTGTTTGAAAATAATTGCGACAAGCTTATTGTTAATTTACTAGGGATAACCTGTTCTAACATCGTTTTACATGCTAGAAACCAAAGATTATAATGAGTTATTTCTTCATTAAACACTTTTT